ACATTATATTCTCCTGATACCAGATTTCTGAGCTAACCTAACTAGCACGCTAACCTAACCTCACTTAAATTTTATTTGAACCATTGATCTCCTCGCACATTATATTCTCCTGATACCAGAATTCTGAGCTAACCTAACTACCACGCTAACCTAACCTTACTTAAATTTTATTTTCATCTTCGATCTCCTCGCACATTATATTCTCCTGATACCAGATTTATGAGCTAACCTAACTAGCACGCTAACCTAACCTCACTAAAATTTTATTTTAATCTTTGATCTCCTCGCACATTATATTCTCCTGATACCAGATTTCTGAGCTAACCTAACTCGTGAGAGGGCAGCGCACTCTCGCATTCTTGCCTCTGAAAAATAGTAGAGGTATTGAGGTGGGTCACTCACGAATTCTGGGCGAGGCGATTGCCTATCCTAAAAGGGTGAAGGTAGCACAAGAGTTCTGGATTGCTCAGAGTGGAGCGGCGAACGTCGCGTCCATCGTAAATCAATCTAATGTAATCAAGGAGCGACCAACGCCTTGTTGAATCGCGATGTGTTACGCTTCTACTATGAAACTTCAGTATCGCGACGCTCGCCGTTCCACTTTGAATAGTCCGGGAATTATATTAGTTATCTGGTAAAAGATTTGCAACAAGTGGCGGCATCTGTGAAAATCAGATTCAACTAAAAAATGATGCCTTGCATTTATCGACGATACGTCCGAAATATTTACGACAGATGTCAGGACGATAGCTTTTTGGTTTTGAACTAAGGAGAGCCTTTGCAACGACAGTAATTTCCGATGAATCTCTTTAGAGAATAACTGTACTGGAATTGCCTCTTGTCTGCCGGTTTCATTTGAAAACTGCACATTAAAGTCTCGTGGACCGACATCATGGCGCCGGCGTTGTCAAGCTCCCCTAAAATTTAAAATGGATTTTCCCGTCCGTATAACCGCTTCCACTTACCGCAATAATTGGGGGCACTGAACAGCCCTCTCCCCATCTTCCTCCCTTCCTCAATCCATCTCTCTCACTCTTTTTTATTCCCTCCCCTTCTCCCTTAACTTAGCGCCGGGGGTTTAGGGGATTTGAATACACTCTCACAGGAACAAATTCCTTAAATCACTCAATGTTACTATCAATTAGAGTAAGACCTTTGTAAACGTGGGGGGGGGGGGGGGGGGATTCGTACTTCCAGGATGCAGGAAACATGAAATGAAAAGAAGCCGTAAACGATGGATTAAAGAAGGCGCGAAGAGGGTGCTTAGATGTACTGAACAAAATTTGAAACGGGCATTGAAAAGGAAGCCTATGGAGATGCAATAAAGAGGCTTGAAGACGGATCGAAAGTCGCGCGGCAAAAGCTGAAAGGAGGTGGACAGAAAGCTTGAAAGTGTGGTGAAGAAGGATGGAAGAAAGCGTGCGAAGGGTGAAGATGATGAGATGGTTAGGTGAGAGGAAGACTTGAAGAAGGTGATTAGGAGAGCCGAAGCGGGCGTGACTAAAACTCGAATGCTTTATAGATACAGAAAGTACCGCAAGCATCCGCCATTTTTGGGCAAATTTGCTGCCAACTTAAAAAAATTGACAAATAAAATCTGAATAGCTGTCATTTTTTATAACCTAACTTCATAGTACTGTCATGTTTTATAAAAATATATACAAATACATATCTCCAAACAGGTGGAACAATCCCTAACATTAAAGTTACTAGAATCTGGCAACTTCCGCCATTTTTGGGCAAAAATCATGCGTTCTCTAACACACGAGCCCAATGGATTGCGGTACTTTCTAAATTTAGTGACTTTATCGAAAGCTATGTTGTTCCCGCCAGGCCAAAACAAAATCCCTGTACGTCAGATACGTCAATTTGGCATGTTCTTGCACAAATTAATCCAACGCAATAAAAAATGATAACAATAAACCACCTTCCGCTGGAGATAATAACCGAAATAGTCTCGTATCTCCCCAGGAAGGATCGGTTGGCCTGCTCCCAAGTCTCCTCGCTGTGGAATCGAGCGGTGGACTGCCGCCAGCTGTGGAAGTTCATGTTGGTGTACCTGGACTCGGACCTGGCGGGTAGGTACGCCTCAAGGTCTCAACGGTGGTACGTTAACGTGCAAGCTTCAGATCCGACGACTGCGATTATTACGAAGATGTACCACAAGCACCTGCTAACAATCGAGCTGTGCTGGAGCAGCTTCCCAGTGCCGGCTCGAGGCATTCTCCACGACTTCAGGCAGTATTGCAAGAAGGCCTGCGAGTATCTTACGCTCTTGCTGAACCTTTGCGTTCAGCTGCGGTCGATTAAAATCAGTACGTGGAGCGACGTCCCCTGCTTGAAGAAGGTTACTTACCACCTGTGCAAGTTTCTAAGGTAAGTCTCCACGTGCCTGGTGGTTCTACAGTGCACTTCTAGATCTCAACTTCACTTGGTGGAGGTGAGTTTTTTCAACGTCGACTTTTGCGTGGTGGAGAGCGCTAGGTTGATGGCCTGTCTCAGAAGCTTCACCGACGTGAGCCGCTTGGAGATAATCCACTGCGACCACCCCAATCCACTGCCCCACTGGCGCTCCTCTTTCGACAGCTTGAAATGCCTCCAAGTTCTGAAAGTGGATTACGCGCTGCTGAATGGCGGACTAATGGATTCGCTACTACGTCAAAAAGTTGCCTCGCTGAAATGCATCGAGATGATCGTCGGAGAAATGGACGACCTGCGACGGTGCATACCCGAAGAGTCCTGGAGGGATCTTTGCGAACAGTGCCCGATGATGAGAGTGGGCTTGCACATTAAGAATAGGTGCAGCGATCTCGGCGAGCTTCTCTGCGAGGCGATACCCCTGACCGTCTTCACGCTGACCTGCGGGAAAGCCTCGGATCAAACTCGTGGCGGACACCTGCAGAACATCCTCTCGAGCATGATCAGAATTTACCACAGGACGCTAGGTAAACGGGCGTTTGGCTTAACCCGAGACAAAAGCGGTTCGTCTTCCAGAGAAGGTTTACGTGCAGCTCAATAACAATACGGAAACTGTCGACGAGACGCTCACCGCCATAGTCACGAGATGCTCGCGCTTGAAATTCTTCGAGTTTCACGGAAACGTCGGGAGCGTGGAGACGTTGCGAAAGATTTGCGAGATCCAGGCGGGGATGGAGGAAAAGAGTAAGTCGAGCCGCGATGGAAACCTAAAGAGGAATCGTCTTTTAGGTTTCAAGCGCTTCAGCATAGTCGCGAAGAACATGAACTTCTACAGTCATCGCCTCTTCCAGACGCTGCATCGGGACTTTGGGAGGAAGTTTCGCGACGCCGATATACAGTTTAGGACCAGCGGTTGTTCTAATAAGAATTTGGTGTACATTTACTATTAAATTTCATACTCGATTTTCGTACGTGTTTCGTGTCTCCAAAACGGGGTTCATCGCGGAAACCTCCTCGTCATCACGCTCTACGTCATGTAAACAAGGCTCCATAGCGTTTCTCCCTTCGCCTTCCAACAGTTACATTCAATGGGCCAAAATAATCGACTCCTGGAGAGGTGAGATTCTCTCCAACGCGAATACTTTGCGTAGAGTTAAATTTCAACTCCATTTGCTTGGTTGGCATTCGTTTCCCATCCGTTACATACTCCTCAGTGCCCTCCCGCTTACAGGTTTTCAGGAACGGCATCCACAACCTTTTGAGAGTTTGTAACCCAGGAGCATGAACTTTGAAGATGTCACCCACAGCCTCGCCGCCGTCTCCTCATCATCCGCACAATTCAATCGTCCATGTAGGCTGGAATCTAGTCACTAGATATAGAAAGTACCGCAATCATCCGCCATTTTTGGGCAAATTTGCTGCCAACTTAAAAAAATTGACAAATAAAATCTGAACAGCTGTCATTTTTTATAACCTAACTTCATAGTACTGTCATGTTTTATTAAAATATATACAGATATCTCCAAACAGGTGGAACAATCCCTAACATTAAAGTTACTAGAATCTGGTAACTTCCGCCATTTTTGGGCAAAAATCATGCGTTCTCTCTCTAACACACGAGCCCAATGGATTGTGGAACTTTCTAACGGGCGATCAAGAATGAGTGACTGTCGAGTCGCCTTTGAAAGTTCAAGTTAAGTAGGATTTCCCATGTAAACAAAAATTCCAAAAGTGACTAGACGGTCACTCATTTTTGATCGCTATGTATATTTAGTGACTTTACTGGAATCTAAAAAGGTGATGTTTCTGTGAATTCCGCTATATTAACCTAACAAAAAAATGTCCGGTCATTGAAGTTGACGATAATCTGAACAATTTTTGTATTTCCTGTATCTCTAAAAATGAAGTGGTGGGGGGTATTCAAAAGTTTCCGTAAAGAACACCCTGTATCTTCGAAACGACCGTGTCGATTTTAACAAACTCGAGTTAATTGAAAAGAGTTATTCTTCGTCTACAAATATTATAATATTTGAAGTTTTGTTAGTTTCACATATCGCCGCTAAATGCTAAATGATGCCTAAACAAGCTCGCGAAAACCGCACCTCGCTTCCTTTCGTTGAGACCTTTAATTAGAATACCATGAAAGATAAAATTAGCACATTTTTTAAATTTCGTTTCATTATTGGAGCTCGGCGAGTACATCAGTAAAAATTGGGTGGGAGAGAGGCGTTCATAGTCAATCTTTTGGGGCGAATCATGGAAGTTCCGTGCGCCATTTTTTTGGAAATCGCGTAAAGATCCATTATCAATCGAAAGTTCACACGGTATCATAAAGAAGGCTCATTAGCCGCACAACGGGAAAATTTGTGCCGCCAATTTCAACGAAATTATTGTCGGGGTGCGTTTTAAATTAGTGACGAAGACTTAATTTTCAACCGTGAATGGTTGGTGAATTAAAACGTAGGCGAACGTATTTTCATTGTATATGTGTTATGTGGTATTATCACGTTCGCCGATTTAAATAATTTGTTACCACGACAGCGTCGAGGTTCAAGGTGCAAGCGCTATATTTGAAGTGGCTAGTTACGTTTATCAATTAAAACTGCCTTATCTCTGTCGTGTTACCAGATTTACATCAAACGGAAACCGGTAAAAAGGTTAAAGACAATTAATTCGTGCTTTTGCTGGCTATCAAAAGCTTAAGTTATATGGGTCATTTTGGACATTTCCGTACAGCGGAACATTGGTAGCTATTCCAGTAAATAATTCGACTAGTAAATTGTGAGAAACCTGAAGCAGTGAAATTCGTCAACCTTCTTTCAAGAGTCACAGAACATTTATTATAGATAACAAACCTCGTTTTGACATTAACACTTAATACATTTATAATAAGCAAAGTGCAATGTGCAGATTAACCTACTTTGAAAAACGGTGGACAATCAGTTCTGCAGCAAACGCCATTACAGATAATACCACACCAAATAAGTATACAATAAAAATTCCATTCAAGTGCCCTAAAGATAGCGCCACCACTTCTTCGTCTTGCGGTAATTCCCTTTTTTGGGAGTCTTCGTAATATTCTCGATCTCTGTCTAGTTTTTCGTACAGCCCTCTCTCGGTCAACGGGTCGATGACTGTGTTTAAACTGTCGATCGTGTAGGTACACCGAGCTGCAAAAGTCAGCATCAAAGGAGGTAAAATGTGATTATCAATGAAGTAATTTGGAGTACGCAATCGTAAACTCAGTACTTCTGAGTGTAGTGTTTTCAATGGAATAGCGATAGAGAAATTTGGACCTGCAGACCAAGTCTCCAGTAGTAGACGAGGATCGTAAGATTTCCTGGGACAATTCTTTGACATTATCTTCCTGTATATTGTCCGAAGACCTGGCACCTCCGCCGCATGTCTCACCTCTACGGCACTAGAAGCAAAACAAATTGGAATATTAGCCTCGAGCAACTCTTTTAAATTGCGAATCGGTTGCCTTGTTGGAGGTGAAGCCATCAGGCGCATTAAGTTTGAGACGTACGCTGTTTGTATGTGCACACTGTATATAATGTAGCACAGAATTACGAATCGTAGTCTTGATGATTGGGTAATGCTCGTGGTGCTTCCAAATAGCGTGATCCCAAAAGTCTTCAGAACAATTTCACCCAAGCTCGTTTTGAATTTGTCCAAAACGTACCAAGCTAAGGAAAATAATGCAAAAACCACCCAAACTAATATCCAAACTTCCAATTCAAAATTAACTACCAAAATTTCTAATGCAGAAATCGCATTTGTTGGTGGAACTATCCACACCATGATGTCCCGTGAATACACGTGAGACAGATAAAAACGTCCTCTAACAGAGGTACCTAGGTTTCCATCATGTACGCTCATCTTGCCGTGATTATTTTGACGTAGTTTTAAAGACACATTCAACATTTCCACCGCGCTGTTAAATGTAAAAGTCTTGCGATTAAGTTTATCCAAATAACGGGTAATGGGTGTAAAACTGAATTCCATGGGACATCCGTGGTAATTTCTTATGGGATGTGGAATTGTGTCAATGATCGCATCATCACAGCTTTGCATATGAATTGTGTTCGAGACTCTGCCGCAATTATTCTGAACATCAAAAGGATTTGCCGTAAATAAGAACGAACTTGTCTCCTTGTTGATCACTAAAACCGCCACATATACAATGTCATAACTCCATAGTAAACTGAAAATCATTTCAACGGACCGTACGTGATCGGTTATAATAAGTACTCGTGCATTGAAAGGTTTATCCACACTCCATATGTCCACGAATTCGAAATGCTTAATACATTTTTGTAAAAAATACAAACTTCCGATTTCGATTATGAAATTGTTGGAAATCACCTGCTTTATGGGACCTGTAGGACGACCGATTTTAATAACAACCCTTGGATTTCTTATATTGAACGACATCAGGTCACTACTGTCCTTGAAAACGTAGTAAAAACTGTCGTTTCCAAAAATCGTTTGGATCACTTTTTCTGTACATGCCTTCCAGGATGTCTCGTTATCTTTTAATGAAATATTGCTACTTGTGGTACTTAAGAATGATACAAAGCTGACACATAATGCAAAAGTTGTAACTTTCATTGTCGCGTTACTTCTATTACGACACTCAAACTGAATCGTTAGGTGCTGACTGACAAATTGAACACACTTATTTGTAGTGTGTGTAAACATATATGCTAAGGTGTTTTCTGTATAAACTGGCAACACTTTACGACACAACCACTAGCTTTTAGTACGTTCTACTTGTTCAGTAAAGTGGTTTTGTTTGCATGCACTTAATGGACATGTCATTAGTAATGCGATCGATGACTACCCGAGCGATATAAAAATAGAATGTCGCCATGGCAACTTTATTTAATAACATTTGAGTTGAGAGAATATGATAAATTGCAATGTCCACACACTAGAGCTGCGAGTTATGAAATGCAAATGTGCAAAAAAAAATTGCCAACTGATATTCCGTACCTGCGTTTCTCTTAGTGATGGAAAAAGACGTTTTCGTCGATCGTATTCTCCTACTAGCCAGAAAAATTTTGCAAAAGCCAATTGGCAAATTGTCATTACAAAACAAAACCTAAAATTGATTATTTGATTCCCTATAGCTTCCTCTTTCCCTCCGCAGATTTTACGTTTTCTTTCTTCTTCTTTTTTCCACTTCATTATCGCCATTATCTAATATTTTTTCCTCCCACCCCTAAGTATTTCGGCACTAGTTTCTTGTATCGTGCGCTCTCTATCTTCGCCCTTTGTTGCTGTACTTGTGGATCAATGTCCCTCTTTGTTAGCTCATCTCACTCGTCCGTATCCAATATCTTGTTTGTATTCCTTCTAGTTTATCCCATTCCTTCCGCCCCTATATCTCCGTTCCATGCGTAAGCAACCCCCTCTCCATTGAATCAAACAGTCATTTTTGAAACTCCTATTCCTCACACCTGTCTCGTCGCCACAAAAAAAATATTCCCCATATCCACCCGCCCCCCCGTCCGTCCGTCTACCTCGAGTTGCAAAAATTCCCCTACTGAAAATCGTATGCGATTCTCCGTATCTCCCCTTTCCTAGCTTCCCCTTTCCAAATCTCATAACCTTCTTTTCCCTTTTCATACCCTCTCTTTCCCAATTCATTCTTTCCATTATTTCCTAATTCATCTGTTTTACCTCCGTTACCATTATCACTTTTTATCCTTCGGCGCGCTTGACAGTGACTGTACTCAAGCTAATTTGTTCCACATGATTAATTTCTCGTCAAAAGATGTCGCTACTGAGCGAGCTCGGCACAACTCCGCTGAACTCTTCATAGAAGTAGGAACATTTGGAAGGATTTATGCCGAACTCGCCTCCGAATCGCTCGGCAGTGACTGTACTCAAGTTCATTTGTTCCGTTTGATTAATTTCTCGCCAAAAGATGTCGCTACTGAACGAGTTCGGCACAACTCCACTGAACTTTGCCTACATTTCAGAGAGAAATTGACAGAATTGGTAAAAATGTAAACCAAAGTAAAAGTGATGAAATATTTCTCTTCGTTTATCATGTTCTCCTAGTTACCAGAAGAATTTTAGAAGAGATTTCAATTTGATACCTCGCGTATTAGGAACAGAAACACCTCTTCGTGCATTATATTCTCCTGATACAAGATTTTTAAATCCTGGCAGTGGTGGGAAAACGACTCCTGGTTGCCAGAAACAAGTTCCTTAACCAAAACTCCACATTTCAGGTCCCTACTTCTACTTGATAAGGTTGATGACGGCAATCTACGGATTCTAACCACAATTTATTAATAATAATAATAATAATAATAATTTTTACTAGCATTGCTCACATTTACTTAACGTTAACATTACTCCTATTACTCTTTTATATATTTATTGGAAGACATGCCATGGCAATTTACATAAAAATAGATATTTTATGGAGAAATGCTCCAAGGATTTTTTTCTCGATATGTGTTCAGCTAGAGCAAAATAAGCATATCTTCATAAAGTATCTTAACAAGCGTTAAATCCTTCATTAATACAATTGAGGCGACGGCCGAGTGAAAGAGAGGAAAATACACGTAAACGATATGTGGAATATTGCACAAATTCGGCGAGTCGAAACGCGTTAGAGACCCCCTTTAAAAAAGTTAGCCAAAAAGCGCCCTCTCTATTCAGAAGGATTAACCCTAATATTTAAATACGAATACATATTGTGCAGTTTACTTTGTAAATGTGCATTCAAAAATGGTTTATTATTATACTTTTGATATTGATTTGGCTCCTCTGATTTTAATACTGGCGCAGCCTACTCCATCGTGTTGTACTGTACCTTTTTCACTTTGAAATATCGAAAGATGCCGTAACCGGTCACTGTCGCCAGTACGGCTATTGCTAGCGTCGATCCGACGGTTATCGGTGTCGTTTCGTCCCTGAACGATAGCTGGACGTTACAGTCGAAGGCCGGGCCGAAATTTGAACCTTTGTACATGAACGGCTGCAGCTGAAACGTGCGGAGGAAGATCGTTCCGCTGAGGCTGGCCGGGTTGTACTCGTCCTCGGGGAATTTGATGTCTAAGGTTGTGTCCTCGCACGCGTAGGACTTGCCGACTGGAGTCGGGAATATCATTTGGTCGTGGACGAGCTTAAAGGTCTTCGCCGGAAGCACTGAAATTGCATCTTTAATGGCGTGCGCCTCTAAATTCTGCCGCAATGCACTCATGCCATTTCTTCCCAAAATGCTTACCGTAAGCCTTTATGCTGTGATATCTCTCAATTGCGGTGCTGACGGTTAGCTCAATTTGGCTGACGTACCACCGCTCACCACCGGGCGTCTAAAATCGACGGAGGTTAAGCGATATATGACACGGTGCGGGTTACCTTAGCAAAATTCCAGATCATCACGTAACCCTCCCACGTAATCCTCATCGAGGCGGTGTCCTCATATTTACAGTTACCCTCGACCAAAGCGTCCTCGGGCATGTAAGCGTTGCCCTGCTCGCTGCCGATGTGCGACTTAAAGTAGATCTCGATGACGCCGTCGACCTTGAGCAGTATACAGGTGGCACCATTTTTCGCGGTCGCCTTGTACAAAACCACCCCCTTGGTCGCCGTCGTCGCGGCGACGTTCGCTATTTTCGTGCCGTTGATTAGGATCGTCGAATTCGTGTACTTCGTGTGTCGCGGAGGCTTGTTCGTTACCATGTAAGGCAGGGTGATGGAACTGACTAACGAAATTACGGCGCCTACAATTGAAACACAAAGGAAAGCGTAATTAGGCCAAATCACTTCACCGTCTCACTTACAAATTAGCAAACACACGCAGGAGACGATCCTCTGCTGTCCGCGCGCCATCGTTTTCGATTGGTTTATGAAACGTTTGGCATTTCAATTCGTTTCAATTTTATTCAATGGAAATTCGTACGAGAAATGGACTATTTATACGGCGTTTTACGCGCAGGCGGTCAATATTTGTTCGACTGCGCAATGCGGCGGGAGGGAAGATCGTAGGAGGCTTCTGTTATTATTTCTAAAGGTAACTTGTGGGCGGTTCTTGCCTATTATAATGTCACTAGGTCCCCCAATTATCATCAAATCACAGGTGTCATCAAAGTTTGCCCTCTTTCTTGGTAGCGGCTAATCAAACCCTTATTAGTCCAGCCCTTTTGGCTTGTTGCCGAACTTTTGCATGGCGCTGTGACCAACATGTGAAGCCTTTCAGGACACTCCAAAGTGTCATCGCTCTTGGTATACAACGCCCATAATGCCCTTACTAAACGGATGTGGCTTAATTTCAATTGGGAAATGGCGAAACGCATTGTATTAAAAATGCCAGTTAGAAACCGTTTCTTAAAAAAGGTTCTTCTAAAAAGGTACCCTGGAGTATACTGAATTGGCCGTCAAAAGATGTCACTGCCGGCACAAACCACCCTATTTTTTACTAACCGAAGCGTTTAAGGCACAACACTGATCTGGTTGTGCCGCACTCGCCTTCGGCTCCCTCGGCAATGATCGTGCTTCACTTTATTTATTTGAATTAGTAAAGTTCAGGCCGAAAGATGTCATTGGCGAGCGAACCGAAGGTGAGTTCGGCACAAGCCACGCCATTTTTTTTCTAACCGAAGCGTTTAAGGCACAAGAGTGACCTGGTTGTGCCGAACTCGCCTTCGGCTCGCTCGGCCATGATTGTGCTTCACTTTATTTATTTGAATTAGTAAAGTTCAGGCCGAAAGATGTCATTGCCGAGCGAACCGAAGGTGAGTTCGGCACAAGCCACGCCATTTTTTTTTCTAACCGAAGCGTTTAAGGCACAAGAGTGACCTGGTTGTGCCGAACTCGCCTTCGGCTCGCTCGGCAATGATTGTGCTTCACTTTATTTATTTAAATTAGTAAAGTTCAGGCCGAAAGATGTCATTGCCGAGCGAACCGAAGGTGAGTTCGGCACAAGCCACGCCATTTTTTTCTAACCGAAGCGTTTAAGGCACAAGAGTGACCTGCTTGTGCCGAACTCGCCTTCGGCTCGCTCGGCAATGATTGTGCTTCACATTATTTAATCGAATTAGTAAAGTTCAGGCCGAAAGATGTCGTTGCCGATCAGGTCGAAGGTGAGTTCGGTACAACCCACCCCAAATTTTTTCTAAACAAATCGCTAAGGCACGTAGGAAACTTGACTGTGCCGACCTCGTCTTCGGCTTGTTCGGCAATGATCGTGCCTAACTTTATTTATTTGGATTGGGGAAAACATGTCGTTGCCGAGCGAATCGAAGGCGAGTATAAGTCTGACTGGATAAGTCAATTTGTGCGGATCTTATACCTTCGTCTCGCTCGGCAATGGATTCAAAACTCTCACTTTCCTTTGGAAGATTAATAACAGACGTGTTAACGACAAGCGAGTCTCACCGATTAAATTTTATGCTAGGCATCCAGAAAATCTGGCACGCGGGAATTCCTTTAGGCTCCGAAATAATGGGAATCCCCTACAAAATTCGATTAGCCACTCTTGTAGGGAGACACTGGGTACCTAGGAAATCTGTCATACGGAAAAGTAATTTGCTCGGACATTACGGTGTAACCATCCTGTATATGTCACTAAAACAGTAAACACTCTTACCAACTACATGCAGCTGTCAAGTGTCAACTGTTTGAAAAGTGACTCATTCCGCATTCGTACTTTGAACTTCTTGCACAGCTCTAAAATTAGAATTTGCTTGAGATAGGTCCAGTTTTCGACTTATTCCCGTTAGAAGAACACCCGAGATGAGTTTACAGTGGACGTTAATCGCCGGCTTCCTCTACTTCGAGGTCTTCATCGTCTTAATGCTGGTTCTGCCCGTGGCGAGCCCTAAGCGATGGAGTGCCTTCTTCAAGTCCCGTTTCCTTCAAGGTATACAGCAGCAGGCGGGCTTCTACTTCATGATGCTGCTCGCCATCCTCGTCCTTTTCCTCCTGGACGCCATTCGCGAGATGAGGAAGTACTCGCACACGGGTAAGTCGATCGGCATTCCGAAAACAAGTAAAAAAAACCTAACTTGCAGAAGACGGCGACGGGGCCCACTCCCATCAGCACTTGGACGCCGAAATGCAGGGAAACATGCGGCTGTTTCGCGCCCAACGCAACTTCTACATCTCCGGCTTCGCCCTGTTTCTCTCCCTGGTCATTCGCCGTCTAGTCATACTGATCACCTCCCAGGCGGCCCTTCTGGCGCAATCGGAGGCGGCGCTTAAACAGGCGGAGGGCGCGTCGAAGGCCGCCCGCAACTTCATGACCCAGCAGGGCGAAATGGCGCAGAACGAAAGCAACGAGGCGCACGACGAGCACGTCTCCAACTTGAAGCGGCAAATCGAGGAGCTCGAAGGCAAGCTCGCCGTGGAGAAGAAGGACAAGCTGGCGATGAAGACTCAGGCCGAAAATCTGAGCAAGCAGTACGACGATCTCGCCGAGGAGCACAGCAAGCTGCAGAAGAAGGTGACGGCGAGCGGCGAGGGGGAGCACAAGAAGGACGATTAATTTCGTTTAGCTTTTAAGTTTTGTATCTGTCAATTGCTAATTAGGAACGACTGATTGTCCGCGAATTACGTAAAATTGTGGAACTTATTGAAAGTTAAGTTTGTCGATTGTAGCATTTCTTGTATTTATTAATAAAGCCTTGTTAAAATAGAGATTTTGTTGTCGTGTGTAAAGACATTCTTATAGTGGGCTGGTCACAGATAAAAACAAAATATGCTAATAATGACATATTAGGCCTGATATCGGCAAGAGACAAACATTCCAGATTAAACAATGCAATTACAATCTAATTATCTGAGTAATTATGTACCTAGGTACAGTGATTATAGGTTGTATAGTCGAAACAATAGAAAGTGACTTGTAAGCATGAGTCACCACATATATCCCAATGTCATAATCATGCTATAGTCAACAATGATGCCAAATGTCTTCAGAATATGAGCTAAAAAGTCCCTGATATGTGATATGGACTATAGCAAGGAGGTAGAGTTAGATGCACCTAATTAAAACAGACCTGGCGAATATCTCTGACAAGTCTTAAGATTTCTAAAAGGATGCGATGCTCTCGTAGGACAACCAGGGTCAAGGAGCTGAGCCTCTTAAGAGGTTTCATAAGATCACTGAAGGGCTGTGGAGATCATGGGGAAAATATCTTTGGAGACTCTCATAAAGAGGCTGTCAAAGGATCTTAAAGAACTCTTTAGGAAACGCTTATATATAGGCTCTGGGAACTGGGAAGCCTTTAAATTACGTTAGCTATAGTTAAACGTTTATTTACATCAAATATATTTTTAACAAAGAACCTGGGATCGAGGTTCGTCCGATTGTTGTGGGCGGGGCTTTCGTTTCGCTTGGCAAACAGTGTTGCCACTACTAAATCTGACGGTTACGACTTGGCGAAACGGTCACGACCACCAAAAACTGACGGAAAAACTTTTCTCTAACGCACTCACATGGTGCCACCATCTCAAGGGAATATAAAGCATGTCGCCTGCCTCCAACATGCACTTATACGCACCGGCACCGCGATACTTGGGAAATTTGTCCAGGTCGGGCGCGTACGGATCCACTTGCGCCGTATTGAACAGAAGACTGCCCTCGTGCGGATAAAGCCGTTCGGAATCGCAAGGCGCAAACAAGACGACCTCCTTCGTCCCGTAAACCTGCGTCAAAAGGTTGTCCTTCGGATCGAAATGCAACGGCGAGACGGTCCCCTCCGGTCCCAACCACGCGTTGACGTCCGGGTCGACGCCCTCTTCGCGTGCCAACGCGCAGTAATCGGGCACGCGAATGTCCTCGCGCAACTCGGGAATCTGGTCGAAGAGGTTGTGCTGCGCGAGGTAGCCCAAGGAGCTCGAGTCCAGGTAATGATCGTAAATGAACTCGCGCAGGCTCATCAGCTTTTGGGTCCAGTTTTCGTCGGCGTAGTGGGAGCCGATCTCGATCGGTACCGTTCGCGAGCCGGCCAGCTCGAGAAGGTAGTTAACGTCGGGCCACTTCGTCACCGCCGGCCAGTGAGATATGCAATCTGAAATTTTTTTACTGTACCTGCTTTTCCTGTTATTTCCAATAAACGGATATTATTATTATTATTATTATTAAATCAAGAAAAGTACATTGTGAAATAGTTGGAATTTAGCTCAAGAGAGGGGGAAATCTGCAATTCAGGGTGATAATGCTCCAAGCTAACTAAGGGAGGGTGTAAAAACCGCCAAAAAAAAGTACTTTGAATAGTTTCAACAATTGGCAACACCACATTTTAATGAACATATACGCACAGTTGCCAGATTGTGAATATTTCAGGGAAGCTTGCTCTTCCACTTACCCTTTAAAACAGCAGGGTAGCAAGGCTTAAAATGATTTTCATTGAAATGCTCAATGGAGGGACAGTGGAGTACTGGTACTTCCTTCCCGTGAACTCTACCCAAGTTACTAGGCAGTTTGCGTTTACTTAGCACTCTTACCGAAGACGGCTTGCTCATCGACTCACTAAACAACGCAGCCGCCTGCGTCATTAAACCACAATTTTCACTTAACGGTGCGCCTAACAACAGTCCCAAATCGACACACTTTAAAGCATTTCGCACGCTCTCGTCCGCACCACTGCTCACGATAACAAGAGCCTTAAACACGACTTTAAAATCGTACGATACTGCCAGAGACCTACCTTAATAAAGCTAACGCAGGTGAATGTCTGCCTTGTAGTTACGGGCACCTCGCTCCAATGGCCCGTATTCAATTCGTCGTGCAAATAATCAAGGATCGAGTCGATCTTTAGCAAGAGTACATCTTCGTAGACTTGCCCCGACTTGAAGCAGTAATCGTGACACTCCTGAAAGGTCTCTCTTAAGTGCAAATTGAGGTCGTTCATACATTTCTCTATTTCTGACCCGTTTTGAATTAGTGCAATTAATTTAGACTTTAAATCCATATTTGAGGTTAGTATGACAGTTGAGCGTGCGATCAAAATACACACTGCGGAGTATCACTTATACAGTCATTTTGATAAACAGGATGCGTCAAACTTTCACGTTCAGCGAAAATTTCACCAGACATCGAATGTAGCATCAGCGATTGAATCTTAAAGATCTCTAAACGACTTAAAAATAATCAAAATGAGCATTTAAGATCCGCTGGGAAGGTTTAAGGGATTTCAAAAGCCTTTTAAACGTTTAAGATTCTTTGGCAGCCTTTAAGAGTATCCCAAGGTTTTGCTTTTGAGAAACCTTCATTATCTTTATGATCTCCTACGAGCTTAAAAATGTTTAAGTGCTTTAAATATTTCAAAAAGCTTTCAAAAGCCTAGAAAAATCCCCGTTCGGAGTTTTTAAAAACCTTTGACAGCCTTTATGAGTCTCCACTAATCTTCAAAGGTATTCTCTCCAAGATCGTTCAATGATTTCCACAGCTTTTCAGTGATATTTACCAACTCTAGGAGGCCGTTAGGAGCTTTTGCTTTTGAAAACCAGTGCCAGGTGAGTCAAAGGAGACTAAGGCACAAACATAGGGACAGTGGAGGTTTGCCACGGTGACTTTTCTTAAGTTGAACTCTACTCTGCCCAGGTTTGTTTCATTGTTTAATAAAGTGATCATGTGAAAACCAATGGCGAGCGAGCCGCAGGCGAGTTGGGCACAAACCTAGGCAGAGTGGACGTTTGCCACGGTGACTTTTCTTAAGCTGAACCCTACTCTGCCTAGGTTTGTGCCGAACTCGCACTTTTACATGGAAATTTAATGAGAGGCCCTTTTTAATGCCGGACGAGCCAAAGGCATGCAAAAGTGATAATTTGAGAACCAGTACCGAGCGAGGGCACAAACCTGGGCAGAATGAAGATTTGCTACGGTGGCTTTTCTTAAGCTGAACGCTACTCTGCCTAGGTTTGTTTAATTGTTTAATAAAGTGATCATTTGAAAGCCAATGCCGAGCGAGCCGAAGGTGAGTTCGACACAACCCTAGACAAAGTGGAGGTTTGCCACGGTGACTTTTCTTAAGCTGAACCCTACTCTGCCTAGGTTTGTGTCGAACTTAAGACCTTCTGCAGGGGCACCTCTAAAACGCATTATGCGAGTCACTCTGTAATTGGACGAAAACTCGCAAAAAGCTGATTATACCGACCTTGAAGAATCTTAAAGGTCCTAAAAACCCTTTTTCGAGACTCTTGAATTATAGCTAGAAGAGCTGGCGAAAGTGAGAAACATTTACGCCATCACCTACCAAAGGCTATAGTCTTGTCTCTACAATTAATAGAAAATGAACTTGAACGACGGCGGGGTAAATAAAAATCAACTGCTAGTGTAACGTAAGGGCGCCATCACGTCGGACTTATGATCGATAACGATTCATGCCGCGCGTTAATCAATTAACAACAATTAAACATTTTATTTACCGACATATAGAACAACGACATAAAAGCAGCGTGCACAGCTTGACATATAAACAGCATCTGTTAAAAAAATACGACAATAAAATAGTTCCAATATTTTTAGGGGGCTTTTCTTATATACATCGAAACAGTCACATGTAAATAAAGAAAAATACCCAATAACTATATAAATTTTTTTACATTATTTAACAACTCGTAAGCACATCCTAGCGTGCTTCGTTACGGATGGACACAATGACGATGGGATTAGTAAAAAACAATACGGCGGCCGAGCTTTGATGTATCAAATTTCGTACATATAGCATTATTGCCGTTGTTTGATCGGTGATATGTACCCGTCATACATAAAAACTAGGCCATTTTTCAAAGCCCACCACTAAATGGCAACGTCGCAAGAAGCAGTGGGGAGTCCGGGAGGGGAGGGAGGGAGCACGTCTAATTAGTGTCAATTACGAAATTAAGATTAACGTTGTTGGAGTTGTAAAAGGCAGAGTGAAAGTGCTCTCGGGGAAAATTCGTGAATTTTCCTTTAAGCATCACAAATTTTCATTGTCTCTCTCTCTATAAATGAAAGGTTTTCGGTGCAATTTCGTTTGGTTCACTCCCGGTGGCACTTTATGAACTGGCAGTGTTCACAAATCCGTTTCTTTTCAATTTTCCTATTCTGTTTTTGAAGTCGAAAACGAAAGGACCATGCACCATAACACATCTAACTAAATCTAATGGCTTAGCGCAGCTAAAATGATTCTTAGATTACATTCTCTCCAGTTTTCCTATGACAACGTACTAAAACTTAAAGGAGTAACTTGAAGGAAAATAACGCCGCAATTCCTAGTTTAAGAGATATGGAAGGATTAGTTAGAGAACGGGCACCGTTGCAGAATGACTTTTTGCATGCGCAATACGTTACTTGGACGTTATGCGTACCGCTTCTCTTGACGCACTCTTTGTCGTCCCGTCTGTCTGGTATGTAGCCACAGCCACGCACAACACGAGTCTTACCGTCGACTGAAAACAGAGCGCTCTGAGTTTTTCCAAGGAAGATCGAATCGGCTTACCTCTTTGCACGGTCTTCCTGCAGAGGATCGGCTTCAGGGTGCTATTCAAATGTCTCGGGGGGTCCTTTAGGTTGCAGTCGACGTAGCCCAGCGTGTAGGGGTCGAAGGGGTCCGCACACCTCGTGTCGTACAGCGAGTTGCAAACGTAACAGAGAAGCCTTTCGGGCTTCCTTTCATCCTGCTTTTGCCATTTTGTCCCGGCGTCACCTGGAAACATTTCCAACTGTAAGGGGGTTTCTGGGGTGACATTTGCGGCCGGCCAAATTCCATTACATAAATAACTATCGATTTTCTAACTATTTCCGGTGGCAGTCGATAATGCAACCCCGAGACTCTACATATACGTTACCGTGACCTAAAATGGGGGTGCTTTTGCAAAGGAAAGGCTTCCAGCACGCAAAGAAGCGCGGCAAACATTTTCGTGAGCACTTACTTTCGACCATGACGATGATGCCGATAATCCAAAACAGCCAGCATACGTGCACATTTGATTTCATTACGAAACGAAAAAAAGAGTTTTAATTGTTAATTAAATGCGACTAAAAAAACGGTCACCCACTGCATTCACCGGATTTAAACCGAAATGTATCGACGCCTCCCTATCCGCTCCCTCGACTTTCGGCGACGCTCTATAGAGACGCGTGACGTCATCGTGTGATACACCAGCGCCGCAAACGTTCCGATTATGACGTCATTGCTGTTTTACACCGAATCGATCAACCTCATTTCTATTCGTTTACTTCACCCTGGTAACAACGACGACGACCCCTCTCGCATGTCCGATATTGCCCAATTTTTACTATTACCTTCCAATAGAGTTCTGCAATCGATATTTTACATTCACATGCAAGCACGAACTGATTACTCTAGATAGAGATATCTGGTACAACCTCGCATTCGCCCTCAAAAAGTTCTAAAATGGATGAGCATCAACGTGTTAGGAAAGTAGAAGTAAATTACTCGATCACTAACCACCTCTAATGTCGGCGGATGGGCGACAAAAAACAAAAAGGACATGGACGGACAGCATACCTAAGAATCTCAAAAATGAGCGCCAGATAAAAAGCGTTCCCCGCTCTTGCAACGCGATTGCGTATTTCCTTTTCAAATGATACATATTTCTCGGAACGCTCTTTTCTGGTGTATCCTTGCATTTTGAAAGTTACAAGCAAACCACCAATTTATTCATACAACTGTTTGCGATTAACGAGTTTGATAAAAAATTGGTAACTAAGTTTCCTTAAAGACTTTACGACGAAATTTCGAAAAAATGTAAATGCTACCGTTACACTCTCCAATGGGCGAGTAACACACCACAACCAGAAGAAGAGGTACGATGAAGTTGTGTGTGTTACGTGTGAACACACGATCCGAAAGGGTGTTGGGAGCACATTTTTTCTGCAGGCGAGTAACCCCACCTGGAGGAAAGCCTATACCTTACGAAAGCATATCTTTTTGAACCGAATAATAGGAGGGAGGTGAGCGTAACTTACGGGAAGGGGGCAGCGAATATATGAATTCTGCGGCCGAATCTCTGAATGCAAATTTGCAGATTATATTTTTAGCCCAAGCGCCACAACTTATTTGCCCATATTATTGGGCCCTCAACTCAACCTATGACAGTGCTAAAGTAGTCCAGACAATGTGAAAAGCACCCGAACAAGTACTTAGAATAGCGGAAGGAGTTTCTCTTGTCACCAAAGCGTCAAGGCACGAGAGTAGCCCGAAGTGTGCCGAACTCGCCTTCCGCGCGCTCGGGAATGATCGTATTCAGGCTCATTTGTTCGATTTGATGAATTTCACGGCACAAAACGTCATTGCCGAGCGAGCCGAAGGCGAGTTCGGCACAACCCGACCTAATTTCTTCTTAGCAAAGCATTAAGGCACGAGTCTAGCCAAAATGTGCCGAACTCGCAATCCGCTCGCTCGGCAATGATTGTATTAAGCCTCACTTATTCGATTTGAAGAATTTCACTGCACAAAACGTCGTTGCCGAGCGAGCCGAAGGCGATTTCGGCAAAACCCGACCAAATTTCTCCTTAGCAAAGCATTAAGGCACGAGATCAGCCCGAAGTGTGCCGAACTCGCCTTCCGCGCGCTCGGGAATGATTGTATTAAGCCTCATTTATTCAATTTGATGAATATCACTGCACAAAACGTCAATGCCGAACGAGCCGAAGGCGAGTTCGGCACAGCCCGACCTAATCTCTTCTTAACAAAGCATTAAGGCACGAGTCTAGCCGAAATGTGCCGAACTCGCAATCCGCTCGCTCGGCAATGATTGTATTCAGGCTCATTTGTTCGATTTGATTAATTTCACGGGACAAAACGTCGTTGCCGAGCGAGCCGAAGGCACCACCCGACCCGGCCAAATGTCTTCTTAGCAAAGCATTAAGGCACGAGTCTAGCCGAAATGTGCCGAACTCGCAATCCGCTCGCTCGGCAATGATTGTATTCAGGCTCATTTGTTCGATTTGATTAATTTCACGGGACAAAACGTCGTTGCCGAGCGAGCCGAAGGCGAGTTCGGCACCACCCGACCAAATGTCTTCTTAGCAAAGCATTAAGGCACGAGTCTAGCCGAAATGTGCCGAATTCGCCTTCCGCACGCTCGGCAATGACTGTATTAAGTCTCATTTGTTGGATTTAATGAATTTCACGGCACAAAACGTCATTGCCGAGCGAGCCGAAGGCGAGTTCGGCACAACCCGACCTAATTTCTTCTTAGCAAAGCATTAAGGCACGAGTCTAGCCGAAATGTGCCGAACTCGCAATCCGCTCGCTCGGCAATGATTGTATTCAGGCTCATTTGTTCGATTTGATTAATTTCACGGCACAAAACGTAGACCAACCCGACCAAATTTCTTGTTAGCAAAGCATTAAGACACGAGTCTAGCCGAAATGTGCCGAATTCGCCTTCCGCACGCTCGGCAATGACTATTAAGTCTCATTTGTTGGATTTAATGAATTTCACGGCACAAAACGTCATTGCCGAGCGAGCCGAAGGCGAGTTCGGCACAACCCGACCTAATTTCTTCTTAGCAAAGCATTAAGGCACGATTTCTTCTTAGCAAAGCATCAAGCCACGAATCTAGCCCGAGGTCAGTTAGTCTTCGCGAAAGAACATCCTACTCTCAAACGGCCGAGGCAAGAACCGGGACCAAAGGTCCACGAGCCCGTACATCTATTAGAGGAGGTGCTCGCTGAAAAGCAAATACATATCTGGATCGTATTACCAGAGTATTGTCTAAAAAGCTATACTCAAAATTGAGTTTTACCATGCAGTCATCAATAAAATCATGATCGCGCTCACAACAATGGTATATGAGGCGAATCAAGCAAACTACAGACAGGCCATCAAACCTATCTGCGAAAAACAAACCCAGGTAACGTCCACCAGAGAAAAAGTGTCCAACCAAACTCGCACATTAACCGTAGAGGTAGAACCGATCTCGGTCGCTCAAACCCGCCATGACCATTTTAAAACAACAACCACCGTTGAAAGTTCATACAGTTTGCTCTCCGTCAAAGTCCAAAGGTTGGTCACCGTTCAAAGTCCAAAAATTCCCTCACTGTTCACACGTTTTTTTTTATCGAAGTGATCCTTACCACCTAGTTCCACATTCTTCCCCAAAATAAGTACGTAGTGCTTTTAGCACTTACAACACAATTTTTTGAAAGAGACTTGAAAGTTTACTTATCTTAGTAGGTTTCCATGTTAGCTCCCCCAAGAGTTACAATTGCATCCCCATACACTGCGCGAAAATTTCACATAAGAATTACACACATTCAGCATACCACTCCGCGTTTTGGTTGCACACTCGCCATGACCGAGACACGACTGACCGACCTATGACAATCAATTAAGATTGTGCGCAAAAGTTGTTTGCTGTTCAAAGTCCACACAGGAAACGGGAGTCAAACTCAACAAGCAACCCGGGAAGCGTGGCAGTTGACCTGGACCAATAGTAAAATGGCACAATTATCCCGATCCTAATGTTCAAAGACCTCGACTGGCTAAGAGAAACAGTTAAACGACAAGAAAGCAGGTCATAAGCTTTTACTACAACTACAAAAATAATTTATTGAGAGCAAACTTGTTCTACGTGTCATTATCAGCGAATTTAGCGTGCGCGTTAAGATGCGACTTTAAGAGCATCTTCGTGGCGAACGACTTGGTGCAGATGGGACACGCGTACGGCCGTTCGCCCGTGTGTTTCCTCAGATGAATTGTAAGGGTGGTGCGTTGGGTGAACCGCTTCTTACAGTGCTGACACTTGTAGGGCTTCGCCTTGGTGTGCACGACCAGATGCGTTGCCAGGACCGTTTTCGACGAGAACGCCTTGCCGCACGTGTGGCATTCGAACGGTTTTTCGCCCGAATGTATTCTAAGGTGCGTTCGAAGGCCCGTCATGCTACTGATGTTCTTTCCGCAGGTGTCGCACACAAAACCCCGATCTGTCGAGCTGTGCGTCTTGAGATGGCCGGTGTAACCTGCCATCGTCCTGCACGTCTTACCGCACTGTCTACACGTGAACACCGCTGGACTGTAGCCCGGTTCGTGTGTGCGACGGTGAAGATTAAAGGAGTACTGGTCGACGTACCTCTTCCCGCAATCTGAACAGTCGAAGGTGACACCCAAGTGAACCTTTTTCTTATGCTCTTCCAGCTCTCTTTCGTAATAAAACGCTCTGCCGCACGTTGGGCACTTAAACTTCTTATTGTCCATATGATCCCTCGAGACGTGAACCTTCAAGTTATACTTGGACGAGTACGCTTTCTCGCAGAGATTGCATTTGAACCCCATGGAGGGGTTGTGCACCTCCTCGTGGTGCTTGGCGCCCAATCTATTCTTAAACGGCCTTCCGCAGATTTTACACGGGTAGCACGGCTTCCTCGTGTGCACGTAGGTGATGTGAGCCCGTCGCAACTTTTTCGTCCTGAAAGTTTTCGTGCAAGTATCACAGCGGAAATGGGTCTCGGGGTGAGCCTCTGGTGGCGTCTTGACGATACGATAGAGTTGGACAATTGTGTACCTAGAAAGAAAACGCTCAGTATAATGTGGCAGATACGAATCTGATGGACAATTCCTCATTTGGGTACTTTGTTATTAAACAAAAAAGAAGTAAGAACAATTCAACTAATAGAAGTTTATTTTTTATTAAATTCGCGGAACATAAATGAATATATGGAGTAGGTATACGTAGGGCTCTCTAGAGTTTTTCTGAAAATGATGGCGTCCACTTTCCGCCAAAGGTTTTCCACATACCTGCCAATTCTTCAGTTCACCCTGACGGTTGAAACAGCTTTTTTAGACATCCTCCCATTCCACTGTTTCTTCGTCTTACTCCAAAACTTTAAAGACGCGTTATAAAGAAGACGACGTGTAAAGATACGCAAAGAAAACGGTATATGTGAAGTAAGTGAGCATCAGGGGGAGGGTGAAGGGACAAGGCACGAAGATAACAGGAGCGTGAAAGAAATACAAAAGGGACCTAAAGAAAGAGTGAAGAAAACGCGAAACAAAAGTAGGAAAAAAGAAACATGAATGGTGGGTGAAGAAGGAGTGTGAATAGGAAGACATAGAGTTGAAGAAAGACAGAAAGTTTAAAAAAGGCACAACGCGGTGAGAGGGGGAGGGATGAAAGAGATATGCAAGATGGCGGGGAAAAATGATGCACTTCACCCCAAATTACTTCCAGTGTTCGCATGATCATTTTTAAGGGTGGGTCTTCAAAAACTTCTTTTTTCCCGGGAGGTATTCCATACAACCCAACCCAATTTCTTCTGCTTAAGGTTATTTATTCAATTTGATCAATTTCGCGCCAAAAGATATCGTTACCAAGCAAGCAGAAGGTGAGTTAGCCACAATCCACGTCAATTTCTTCCAAGAAAAACGTCAAAGCACAAGAGTAGCCCGAATTGTGCCGAACTCGCCTTCGGCTCGCTCGGCAATGATTGTGCTAAAGCTTATTTATTCGATTTCGCGCCAAAAGATGTCGTTACCAAGCGAACAGAAGGCGAGTTAGCCACAATCCAGGTCAATTTTTTCCAAGAAAATCGTCAAAGCACAAGAGTAGCTCGAATTGTGCCGAACTCGCCTTCAGCTCGCTCGGCAATGATCGTACTGACGCTTATTTATTCGATTTCACGCCAAAAGATGTCGTTGCCAAGCGAGCAGAAGGCGAGTTCGACACAATCTAACCAAATTTTTTCTCAGCAAAGCGTCAAGGCACGAGGTCAGCCCGAAATGTGCCGAACTCGCCTTCGGCTTCCTCGGCAAACACGACAAGAAAGCGTGAAAATAAGCGCTACCTGAAGTAAGAGGAAAAGTTGGGGGAGGGATAAGTAAAAGATAAGAAGACCTATTGAAACGAGATGTGTGTGAGGAAAAAAAGCAAGATGCAGGGAAAGCGTGCAAATGAGATGTGAAGAACAGATGAAGGAGATGTGAAGACCCGTAAAGGAAAAACTTACGAAACATGAAGACTAGGAGACATGAAAATGGTGTGAAAGAGACGGGAGGTCGACCTAAAGCAAGCTCCAAACAAGTGTGAAGAAGAGACCTCTGGCCGGTAACGATACCATGCAAATGAAAACCATTTGAATTGAGAAACTATAACGTATGACGTATTTCAGCTCCTAATCCTTACAGTATCTAACATTGTTAATTATGTCTGGCTACCAGGAGCACATAATCAATCTAATCTCAGGAGAAATTGCTCGCTTTAAGCTTCGAGAACACTGTATTAGGAGAATATAATCCGCAAGGAGATATTCTTGCGCCTTACACGTACGCCATCTGCCTTCTCTAGCTGCCAGAAATATATAAAAAAAAAGAAAAAGAAGTATTTCTGCTCTTATTACTTTTGTAAATTTTCTCCGACTATCAGGAGCGCATAATGGGAGGGGGGATTTTTATCCTTCTATATCTTAATGGTTGCTACGGGTAACAAAATGGGTTTCCGGAGTCATCTGTATGGTGAATTTCCCAGGCTGCTCGATTCTCTTGATACCACAAACCATTTTTGGTCGTCTCCTCTGTAGGTGTATTCCTGAGATCAGGGGAGCAAAAGCTAAAATAGGCTCCAGATTAAAGATAAAGATTTTGGAAATAGAAACAGTTTTATTCTATAAAAAAATCATTACTAAGTTACTACATTGTGCACTGTACGAGGCGAACATTAATAAGTGAACTTTCCGCTCTTATGAAACTAACCGAGAGTCATTTAGAAAGGAGCGGGGTTACTGAATGCGCCTCAGGAAAACTCCTTGGATCTCCACTGAGATGGTCACTATAATTCTAAAAGCTAGAAAAATATTTTGGCGGAGCGTAGCAACGGGGTTCAAGAGTGCGGCACCTCCATCGCAAGAATACTAAGAACACTTTTTGGGAGAGAGCGCATAACCGCCGGGGGGGGGGGGGGGGGGGGGGGGGTCTGGAATAACCCCCCAGAAAAGGATATTATGAGTTTCCCAAAAGAAGCTGTGGTGGCGTGTATTATATCCCCCCCCCGCCCCGCCCCCCAGAGCAACTGGTACTGCCACTTCCCACAAAAACTTTGAAAAAAGACCATTTTACCGCACTAAATAGAAAATATTCATACACATAGGAGGTAGCACCGGGAGGGGGGGGGGGGTCAGGGGGATATACAATACCCCCCAGGAAAAAAATATTTAATGAAACTTTCCTGAAAGAAGCTACCATGGTAGCTTTTTTTGAGGGTAATCAATTCTTCCTGTACTGAGGGTATTGGCTCAGACCCCCCCCCCCCCCCCGGTGCTGCAGACCATTTTACCGCGCTACGTAGGAAATAATCACACACATTTCGGGAGAGGGGGTAACAGTGGAGTGTCTAGGGGGTACGGAATACCCCCATGAAAGAAATATTTAATGAAACTTTCCTGAAAGAAGCTATCATGGTAGCTTTTTTGAGGGGGTAATCAACTGTGGGGTATTCCACACCCCCCTCCCCCAGTGCTACCACCTCACCCAAAACCCTTAAAACTCCTATATGAAATATCTTAAAAGAAGAAAATTTATTCTCGTTAAATAGAAAATAATCGGGGAAGCATTTAGGAAGCCGTGGCACCCAGGGGTCGGGGGCAGTACCCTCCAGGAAAAGAATATTTAATGGAACTTTCTCGAAAGAAGCTGTCCACGTAGTTTTTTTTAGTGCCACTACCTCCCCCAAAACTTTCAACCCTTAAAACTCGCTGAATGTATCTTCAGAAAAGAGCATTTTACCGCGCTAAAAGAAAATAATCACACACACATTTCGGAAGAGGGCGTAACACCGGGAAGTCTGAAGGAGAGGGGGGGGGGAGTATTATACCCCTCGGGAAAGAAATATTTAATGAAACTTTCCTGAAAGAAGCTATCACGGTAGCTTTTTTGAGGGGGTAATCAACTGTGGGGTATTCCATACCCCCCTCCCCCAGTGCTACCACCTCACCCAAAACCCTTAAAACTCCTATATGAAATATCTTCAAAGAAGAAAATTTATTCTCACTAAATAGAAAATAACCGGGGAAGCATTTCGTAAGCCGTGGCACCTAGGGGTCTGGGGCAGTACCCCCCAGGAAAAGAATATTTAATGGAACTTTCCCGAAAGAAGCTGTCATCGTAGTTTTTTTAGTGCTACTACCTCCCCCAAAACTTTCAACCCTTAAAACTCGCTGAATGTATCTTCAGAAAAGAGCATTTTACCGCGCTAAACAGAAAATAATCACACACACATTTCGGAAGAGGGCGTAGCACCGGGAAGTCTGAAGGAGAGGGGGGGGGGGTATTATACCCCTCGGGAAAGAAATATTTAATGAAACTTTCCTGAAAGAAGCTATCACGGTAGCTTTTTTGAGGTGGTAATCAATTTCTCCTGTAGTGGGGGTGGGGGGGGGGGGGTATTCCATACCTCTCAGAGCTGCCACCCATCCCGGAACTTTTAAGACTCTCTGTATGAAACATCTTCAGAAAAGACCGCACTCTATACAAAATCATACAAACATTTTGGGAGAAGGTTTACCTCTGAGGGTATGGTATCCCCAAAGACAAAGATTTCAAAAGTTCGGGTGGAGGGGTTACCGCTGTGAAGTAAAGAAAGAAGATTAAATTTAGACAAGTTCAATTATTACTGATCACTCTGTACAATCTACTATTAATATACACCGTGCGCCTTCATGTGTGTCCCCAGCAGCGCCTTAACCATAAACGCTTTCCCGCAAATGTTGCACGCGTATGGCCGCTCTCCCGTGTGCTGCCTCAGATGAATCTTCAGCGAGCCGCACTGCGAGAACCTCTTCGCGCAGACGCTGCACGCGTACGGTTTTTCCTTCGTGTGAACTCGCTCGTGTTCGATAAGACGCTCGCGCGCGATGAATCGTTTGCCGCACGTGGCGCAACCGAACGGTTTCTCGCCCGAGTGCGTGCGCAGGTGCGTTACCAAGCTCTTCATCGTCTTCACGCTTTTACCGCAGGAGTCGCACACGAAACACTGATCGGCCCGGTGGGCCTTGATGTGCCGCCTGAGGGATATCTTCGACGCCAACTGTCGATTGCACTCGAAGCACGTGAACAGCCTGTGGACGTGAATTCGACGGTGACTGTTGAAGTAGGCCTGGTCTCCGTAGACCTTTCCGCAGTCTGGACACTTGTAAGTGATGTCGGAGTGAACCTGTTCGCGATGGTGGAGTAAATGCCGCTTGGAACCGAATTTCGTATCGCAAGTTAACTCGTCGTGTACTCGCTTCTTATGCGCTCTTAAAGTATTCGGGCGTTTGAAGAACTTCAGGCAGACGTCGCATTGAAACCTATCGTTTGTCGTGCACTTTTCTAGCACGAACACCTTGCAGGTCAAGCCCTTGCCGTGCGCGTGCCGCGTTAAACCGTTCCTGCTTTTAAATCTTCGCTCGCATCCCATGCACGCGTACTCGTCTTTCGGAAACTCGCATCTAGAAAAATGGCAGTTAGAGCGAACGTTCCGGGAGATTACGTTAGAGCTATGCAAAGTTGCTAAACTTACCATGGAAAAAAATATGCAATGGGGGCATGGGGGGGACACTCGTAATCACCAAAATTAATTAGATTAACTTTATTTAAAGAAAATAAGATCTACAAGAGTTTTTTCATGCATTTCTTCGTGTGAACCTTCACCGCAGACTTGCTAGTGTACGCTTTGCCGCACAGCTGGCACGTGAAGGGCTTCTCGCCGGTATGCGTGCGCAAGTGCATGACCATGCTGGTACGTTGCGAGAACCCCCTGCCGCAGAACGAGCACACGTGAGGTTTTTCGCCGGTGTGCGTTCGCTCGTGCATCGCCCTATAGAAGCTGAGCTTGAAGGATTTTTCGCAGAAGTAGCACTTGTAGCGCGTGTCTCCGGCGAGGGCGCGTCGACGCCTCTTGCGTTTACTTGGCGTTTCCTCGCGGGGGCGGTGAGACCTCATGTGATCGTGTAAGCCGCGACGGCGCAAGTACAGATTGTCGCAAACGGAGCACTGATACCTTTGCTGATCTTCTGCGACACTAGAAATTGTCGCGGAAGAAGATTCGGGGTGAGCATTAACCGCGGATAAGGTTTGAAACTCTTCGCCATCGTCATCAATGGTGATGACATAATACACTGTATGATCTCCTACGGGCTCATCCTTGATCCTGAACCTGGAAAGAATGCTTTAGGTGAAATCGGTTTGTCCTCCACACTTCACTCGCACACGGATTTTGATGGTTAATTAGCACACGAGGAGGGTTAGTAACAAAATCTAACAGGCATAAATGGTAACATTTGTGACGGATGCTCCTGAATCGTTGGTGGCGTGCTTCCGCGATGGAAAGTTTAGAGTTTTGGAAATATTTGGAAAATGGAGACGAATGGAAATTTTTGGAAAGGGAGACATGTGTGAGAAATGTTGGAAATGGAAAAATTTTGGAAAGATGCGAGAATTTTGGAAATATTTCGAGAATCGAAACGAGTCGACATTTTTGGAAATGCAGATACGTAGAAAGCTTGGATAAGAGTAGGAAATGTTAGAAATGGGGGGGGGGGGGGGCATTTTGGAAAGTTTGTAAAAATTTTTGGAAATGGAGATACCATATCAAGTTTGAATAAGTGTAAGAAATGTTCGAAACGGAGATGAAATTTTGGAAAGATGCAAGAATTTTGGAAATATTTCGAGAATGGAGGCGAGTACACATTTTTGAAAATGGAGATACGTAAGAAGTTTGGATCAGTATGGGAAATGTTGGAAATGGAAAGGAAATTCTGGAAAGGCGAAAGAATTTTGCAAATATTTCGAAAAAGAAGACTAGACATTTTTGGAAATTGAGATACGTAGAAGGCTTGGATAAGTGTAGGAAATTTTGGAAATAGAGGGAAAATTTTGAAAAGATGCGAGAATTTTGGAAATATTTCGAGAATGGAGACGAATACAAATTTTTGGAAATGGAGATACGTAGAAAGTTTGGAAAAGTGCAAGAAATGTTGGAAATGGAGGGGAAATTGTGGAAAAGTGCAAAGAATATTTCGAGAGTGGAAATGAATACATAGATATTTTTGGAAATGGAGATACGCACGAAGCTTGGATTAACACGAGAAATGTTGGAAATGGAAAGGAAATTCTGGAAAGGTAAAAGAGTTTTGTAAATACTTCGAAAAAAAAAAGACGAGTAGACATTTTTGGAAATGGAGATACGTGTGAGAAATGTTGGAAATGGAAAGGAAATTTTGGAAGGTGCAAAACTGCATATTTCTAGAATGGAGACTAGTAGAAATTTTGGAAATGGAGATACGTAAGAAGTTTAGACAAGTGTAAGAAATGTTCGAATTGAAGAGGAAATTTTGGAAAGATGCGAGAATTTTGGAATTATTTCGAGAATGGAGACGAGTAGAAGTTTTAGGAAATGGAGATACGTAGAAAGCTTGGATAAGTGTAGGAAATGTTGGAAATGGAGAGGAAATTTTGAAAAGATGCGAGAATTTTGGAAATATTTCGAGAATGGAGACGAGTAGAAATTTTAGGAAATGGAGATACGTAGAAAGCTTGGATAAGTGTAGGAAATGTTGGAAATGGAGAGCAAATTTTGAAAAGATGCGAGAATTTTGGAAATATTTCGAGAATGGAAACGAGTACACATTTTTGGAAATGGAGACACGTGTAGAAAATCATGGAAATAGGAAGGAAATTTTGGAAAGAGCAAGACTTTTGGAAATATTTGGGGAATGGAGACGAATAGATATTTTTGGAAGTGGAGATACGTAGAAATTTTGGGGAAGTGTAGAAAATGTTGGAAATGGAGAGGAAATTTTGAAAAGATGCGAGAATTTTGGAAATATTTCGAGAATGGAAACGAGTACACATTTTTGGAAATGGAGACACGTGTAGAAAATCATGGAAATAGGAAGGAAATTTTGGAAAGAGCAAGACTTTTGGAAATATTTGGGGAATGGAGACGAATAGATATTTTTGGAAGTGGAGATACGTAGAAATTTTGGGGAAGTGTAGAAAATGTTGGAAATGGAGAAGAAATTTTGGAAAGGTGCAAAAATTTTGAGAATATTTCGAAAATGGAAATGAATAGATATTTTTGGAAATGGAGATACATGTGGGAAATGTTGGAAATGGAGGGGAAATTTTGAAAAGATGCGAGAATTTTGGAAATATTTCGAGAATGGAAACGAGTAGACATTTTTGGAAATGGAGATACGTAGAAAGCTTGGAAAAGTGCAAGAAATGTTGGAAATGGAGGGGAAATTTTGGAAAAGTGCAAATTTTAAGAATATTTTGAGAATGGAAATGAATACATAGATATTTTTGGAAATGGAGATACGTAGAAAGTTTGGACAAGTGTGGGAAATGTTGGAAATGAAGAGGAAATTTTAGAAATATTACGAGAATGGAAACGAGTACATTTTTGGAAATGGAGATACGTAAGAAGTTTGGAAAAGTGTAGGAAATGTTGGAATTGAAGAGGAAATTTTGGAAAGATGTGAGAATTTTGGAAATATTTCGAGAATAGAAACGAGTACATTTTTAGAAATGGAGATCCGTAGAAAGCTCGGATTAGTTTAGGTAGTTTAGGAAATGTGGAAATGGAAAGGAAATTTTGGAAGGTGGAAGACTTATGGACATATTTCGAGAATGGAGACGAGTGGAAATTTTGGAAATGGAGATACGTAAGAAGTTTCGACAAGTGTAAGAAATGTTGGAATTAAAGAGGAAATTTTGGAAAGATGCGAGAATTTTGGAAATATTTCGAGAACGGAGACGAGTAGGGGTTTTAGGAAATGGAGATACGTAGAAAGCTTGGATAAGTGTAGGAAATGTTGGAAATAGAGGGGAGATTTTGGAAAAGTGCAAATTTTGAGAATATTTCGAGAAATGGAAATGGATAAATTTTTTTGGAAATGGAGATACGTGTGGAAAATGTCGGAAAGTGAAAAGAAATTTTGGAAAGGGGCGAGAATTTAGGAAATATTTGGAAAATGGAGATTTTTAGAAATGGAGGTGTGTAATAAGTTTAGAAAAATGTAAGAAATTTTGGAAAGTATATTTTGAAATTTTTTCGAAATCCAGCATGTGATTACTGCATACTGACATGATTAAACGGTCCAGCCCATTACTCAACATTTGCATAGTTATATGTGACACCCTGTACACAAGTTCGATGGTGTAGTTCCCCGTCAATTAAACAATGAGATTAAGAATAATAGCTTTCATACCCTTTCTCAATCAAGCTTTAACTGAACAGCGTTTTGGGTTTAGGTTGAGATTAATACAAGTGAAACGAATTTTTATTGAACGAACGGTACAAATCACTCAAAGAGCACGTCGTGCATCTTGAGATGCGAAACGAGCATCGGTTTAACGATGAAAGCCTTCTCGCAAATGTGGCACCGGTACGGACGTTCGCCCGTATGCAGACGCGCGTGAACCTTGAGCGAGTGCTGCTGCGTGAAACTTTTCCCGCAGACCCCGCAGCCGTAGGGCTTCTCCTTCGTGTGAACGCGAACGTGCTCGGTCAGTCTCTCCTTGGACACGAACGTCTTGCCGCACTCGTGACAGCCGAACGGCTTCTCCCCCGAATGGATCCTCGAATGGTTCCGAAAGCTCTGCGGCGTACGGAGACCTTTTCCGCACACGTCGCAGATGTACAAGAAGTTCTCCTTGTGTATTCGCATGTGACGCTTTAGGGAGGACTTCGACGAGAGTTGGTCGCCGCACGTCATGCACGTGTAGAGCAGCCGAACGTTGCCGATCTCGTGATTGCGCTGATGGATCTTGAAGTGCGATTCGCTTAGGTACGTTCGTTTGCACACGTCGCACGTGTACGTCACGCCGAGGTGGGCGGTTTTCACGTGCGCGACCAAACCGGCGGCGGTAATGTACTCCTTCTCGCACTGCTTGCAATTCCACTTGCCCGCGTTGTAGTGCGCCTGACTCTTGTGCTGTCCCAGACTTTTCGCATGTTTGAAAGTCCGATTGCAGATGTCGCACTCGACGGAATGCGACTGGTGCACCACGCTGTGGGCCTTCAGGTACCACATACTTTTGAACAGTTTGCCGCACACCTCGCAAGGCACTTTTCCTTCCGTGTGCGAGTAGTAGTTGTGCCTGGTGAATTTCTCGCGAGTTAAAAAGGATTTGTTGCACGGCACGCAGTATAGCATCGGTAGCATTCCTTCGGACCACTCGCTAAATTGCCAACTGAGCCTGAAAAGAGAATTATTAGTTTTTTGAGCAACGGGCGCGTTCCGTTTGTGGATTTTTCAGCGTAGTAAAACAGGAAAATAGTAAAATAAAGTATTTAATTACAAAGTATATACAGTAACAATCTACACCCCCCCCCCCCCCTTTCCTTTCAGAGCGCTCATTTGTCTTCCAAATGTTGAACCAAATGATTCTTGAGACTGGCCATGCTAACCAGTTCCTTCTCGCACACGTTGCAGGCGAATTTCGACATCTTCCTCTTCGAGTTCGCCTTCGCATAGGTCCGCACATTTGCGGTTTCGTGTATCCTACGCTTGTGGCTCCATAAGGAAGACTCGAACCGAAAGGTTTTATCGCAGCGATCGCACTTGAACTCGATCTTCTTCGACCTCCCGCCGCACGTTTCGCAGATTTCGTCCTTGTGCGCGGAAGCCACGTGCTTGATCATCGTGTACTTCGACTTGTACCTCTTGTCGCAAAGCTCGCAAACGAAGACCGGCGGATTTTTCTCCGGAACGGCGGAAGGATTCGTGCGAAGGGGATCTGAAATGTTATTTACGGGAAGAGGCGGAGGGGGCGCTGGCGTTGGTGACTCGGCGCTAACACCCGATCCCGGAGTGGTGGGAACCACTACTATACCATAGAGCTGCCAAAGGATGGATCTGAAAAGAAAGGTAGTTAAAAGGGGCGCATGAACGATTTATTAAATTAGACTTATAAAATCACTATCAAACGATGATTGCGCTAAAGCCGAGGCTGGAAGAGTCAGATGAACTGCTGGGGGGAGGGAGGGGGGGGGAGTTCGGCACAAATCCGCCTAACGTTGCCTACAAAAAGGCAGCTCGGCAATCGTAGATACATCATTACTTTGGGTTGAAAGATTCTTTAGGGACTACTTCATAAAAAAAAATAGGAAAGGTGGGCCCCCTCTCCTCACATACCTTTTTTAGGAATGAAAGACGTTTTCAAACCTAAATGACGTACTTATAATTGCGTAAAATAATACAGCTCTAATGACTCGCACCACTAAATTTTCCATGGAAATGATCATGATCGGGTACCTTCGATACGTTTGATTACATGGCGTGGGGAATAACCTACAGTACTCGTAACGGGCAAATTCATGATTATGTTCTCCTGATATGACATAGTTATCATCAAAATTAATAATCTGGACGACAAAAAGCAACCCCTCAATTTTTCTGTTCTCTTGATACCAACTTCTGACAAAAAATGATTGCATTTAGAAACGTAAGCAAATGGCAAAGTATGATCGACAATCATCTTGCCCTGATATCAAATTCTTGTAGAAAAGGATTGCAAGGATTCGAAAAGGTAGCAGTATTGTGATCTTTCTGATTCCAAATCCACAAATTGGATCGGAAATATAGAAATGCAAGCTGACACTATAATACCCTCCTCCCCCCAAGAAAAAAGGGAATATTCAGTGGTTCTTTCCCAAAAACAATACGAAGGTACTGAGGGACACACAATCTTCATTTTCCGTGGGGTCTTCCATACCCCTTAAGGCTAAACTTCGTCCAAAAGAATTAAAGTTCTCAGGTTTTTTTTTGGGAAAGAGTCACTGAACCTTCCTTTTCTGAGGGTATTATTATACCTCCCAGATCCCCGGTGTACGTTTTCCCCAACTACTGTTCAGTGGTCTTTTCCAAACAAAAATCATTACGAAGATACTGAGGACCTTGAAAGTTTTGGGGGAAACGTAGCCTTAGGGGCGTGGGAGGTACAGAATACCCTCTAGGAAAAGTGAGCCTTTCCCCAAAGAAAACTTCACAAAGATATGGACGCCCTTGAACATTTTCGGGGAACGTAGCCTTGGGAGGTACGGAATACCCATCAGAAAAAAAGAAATTTGTGTGGACTTTTTGGTGGAAACGTAGCCTTGGGGGGTGTGGGAAACTCATCAGAAAAAAAATTGATTGCTCTTCCTGAAGGATGACACAGAACTGAGAGGATAGTAAACGTGTTTTAGGGAAAATTTACTCCGGGGGACTGAGGGGTACTCCCCCCTGAGTGGCACGGAAAACCTATAAAAAAGAAATAGATTGATCTTGCGGTCTCGGGGGATTCCATTCCCCCCCCCGTAAAAGAAGACTGTGCCCCCTCCCCAGGACGTTCTAAAGATCATCCTCCGGGAAGAGCCATCAATTTCACATCCCCCAAGTCTACGTTTCCCGGTTTTAGAAGGATCACAGTCTTTTTTTACGAAGGGGAGGGGGGGGGGGGGAATACCCCGAGACCGCAAGATCAATCTATTTCTTTTTTTATAGGTTTTCCATGCCACTCAGGACTACGTTTCCCCCAAAATGTTCAAGGTCCTCAGTGTCTACGTGATGGTTTTTTGGAAAAGGTCCAATGAATCTTCCTTTACCTGGGGGGTCTTCCAGAGCTCCGGAGAAGTTTTTTCCAGACCACGTTGACTATATCCTCTATGTTCTTACGATCATCCTCCGAGAAAAGGTAATCAATTTCTTTTTTTCTAGTGAGTTTTCCATTCCCCCCAAGGCTACGTTTCCCCCAAAATGTTCAAGGTTCCTCAAAAACCATCATGAATATATTAAGGACCTTGAGCATTTTGGGGAATACGTAGCCTTGGGTGGCATGAAAAAACTATCACAAAAGAGAAATTGGTTGATGTTCTGCGGAAAACTTACTCCGAGCGGTCTCGGGGTGTTCCATCACCCCTCCCCACCACCCACCCACCCTTAGTAAAAGAAGACTGAACCTTTCTTCAAAAACCATCACAGATACTGAGGACTTTGAACATTTTGGGGGAACGTAACCTTGGGGGAGGGGGGTATGGAAAACCCATAAGAAAAGAAATTAATTGCTTTCAGGGGGATGAACTTAAAGGATAGTAAACGTGTTCTGGTGGGTCTAGGGGGTATGGAAATGCCCCATATAAAAGAAGAGTCTGCGGTCCTTTTCCAAAAACCGGGAAACGGAGACTTGGGAGATGTGGAATATTTCAGGGGAAAAAAGAAATTGATCATAAGACCTTAGACGATGATGAGTGATTTTCGGGAAAGGGCCACTGAATCTTCCCTTCCTGAGGGGTTTTCCATTCCCCCCGGCGTACATTTTTCCCGCGTACTGTTAAAGGAAGATCCAGAGGCCCTTTCCCAAAAAAAAAAACTCAATTTGGGGGGGAAAAAAATTGTTGGTTAAGGATGATCATGAGAACGTAGAAGCTGTAAACGTTTTGGGGGAGGGCAAGAGGAAAGGGTGGCTCTTTAGCAAAAGGATCTGACAGCTTAGAGGGCTATAAACGTATTTGGGAAACCGTAGCATGGGAGAAATCCCCCCGCCCTTCGCGAAAGAAAAATGGATTGCTCTCCCTGAAGAATGATAATCACTTAATAATGTTTAAAAAGAAAGTGTATATAATTTACCTCCGTGTACATTTTGTGTTCTCCTGATTACTCCCACAAAACAATTACATCAGGAACACAAAAACACTAGCAAGTTAAAACAGGAAGAACTATATCCTTCTCGTCGTCTTCTGATATTCCAATGCAAGACAAACTTGTTGCAAAAGCATCATGCTTTCCTGATACGAAGCTTTTCTCAAAAAGGCATTGTATCGACAGGTGACCGACGATATAATCCGATCATAGTCCAACTTTTTGGTGAAAAAATAGGTATCAGCTACCTGTCAACTGATACGCACAATTGAAAATTACTAAAAGTAGGTACAGTTTCCTGCTGGTTAATTCCAGCGGAGCTTTCGTCAACATTGCACCTCTAATGTGCGGCACCACGAAGCCCGCCAATCACATGATCATGATTAGCAATCATAAAATGCTCTTAAGACTTTTTTTATTTGTACAAAAAACAATTACTTCGATTTTTCATTGCGACATTTAGTATGCACCTTCATATGAGTCCTTAACAAAGTTTTAACGGGAAAGGACTTGTCGCAAACGTGGCACGTGTACGGGCAATCGCCGGTATGCTTCCGTACGTGAATCGTAAGCGAACCGCGCTGAGTAAATCTCGAATCGCACATGTGGCACTTGTACGGCTTCTCCTTGGTGTGCACCCTCGAGTGCGCGACGAAGTACTTTTTAGAGGTAAACGCCTTCCCGCACTCGTGACATTGAAACGGCTTCTCTCCGGTATGCGTGCGCAGGTGGTCCATAAAGCTGGGCAGGCTGGAGATGCTCTTTCCGCACGTTTCGCAGACGAAAGTTCGACCGGCCGCGTCTATTTCGTGCAACTTGCGATGGCGCTTGTAACCCCCTCTGGAGATGAAGGTGGCGTGGCATACCTTGCAGGTTATCTTTTCCGGTACGTAACCGGGGAGATGGATGCGGCGGTGGGCGTTTAGATTTCCCTTAGACCGGTATGTATTGGGGCAATCCGCACACCGGTAACGCGTGGTCGAATGCGCGTTCGCCTGGTGACCCTTTAATCCGCTTCCATAGCGAAAGGTCTTGTCGCACAGGTCACACTTGAATCGGGCCCCTTCGGTATGGATTCTCTTCATGTGGTCGTCCAGCTGTAAGGAGAAGGAGAACGAACTAGAGCAAATGCTGCACTTGTACAAGTTCAGACCGCGGTGTCCGTCCTCGTGCGCCAATGCCTCGTTCAATTTCTTAAAGGGTTTGCCGCATATTTTGCACGGATGACACTGAAAATTCCCGTGCACGGACCAATGGTGCTTTTGCATCGCACGTTTCGACCAGCAGCGTCGGCCACAAATCTCGCATTTCAATCCCACATCCGGCAACGCGGCCGAATCGCCCTTCTTTTCACAATCTGAGCATTGCGTGCTCCACACTGTCCGCGCCAAAAACCACTTGGAGCACGTTTTGCATTTGACATTGGCGTGCTTATTCTTCATGTGGTCGTATAAAAGGAACCGAAGAGGGAATGCGGCACTGCAAATGTCGCACTTGTGTTTATCGGTGCCCTTTTTCTCGTCGGATCTAGCTGTGGGCGCGGAGGGTTTTTCGTCGACGCTTACGGCCGATTGAGGCACTTCTAGTACTCGATACAACTGCCAGACGACAAACCTAAAAGGAAATGCAATTAGTCTTAGATTACTTCCGTTAACCGGGTGCTATTAGATCTAATCGGCAAACTTGGCACTACTTACGATCTGCCGATCAATTCCGTAGAAGAGAGGAAGAAAACGAAACGAAAAATAAATTTATTTTATAAACAAAGTGACAAAATTAGCTTCCGGCGTGACCTTTCACATGTGTCCTCCTCAGCAGCGCAAATGCGACACGCGTAAAACCCTGGTGTGCACTCTGGAATGCTCGACCAACTACTTCCTTGCGGTGAACGCCTTATGGCGGTCGATGCAACTGACGATTTTTCCCCGGCGTGAATCCGCAAATGATCGCGATTCCTTTACCGCACGTGTCGCAAATGTACTTGCACACGACACGTAGCCGGAGAGGTGGATCCGGAGATGAGCTTTGACATAGCACTTCCTACTTGACATTTTCGGCCATAAAAACGCATCGTCGCACTTGATCGCACTAAAAAACTCTTCGAGAGCTCCTTCTACCCCCCCCCTTCCCAAAAACCAGCAATCGAAGTTTCTTTCGGCTGGGGGGTATTCCATACCCCCCAGACCCCAGGTAATATATTCTCCCCTAGAGATATTCATAGTGCTGAGTACGTGTCATCATTTTGTAGATAAAACCATCGAAGCTCCTTCTCCTGGGGAGGTTTGGTGTGAAATGCCCCCCAGAAAAAAAGCTTTGCTGACACTCCCCCACGTATGTGTGATCACCACAAATATTAATAATCCTAAATGTTTTTGGAAAGGAGATCGTACCACCGGGGGTTCTGGGGGGTATGGAATACCCCCCAGGAAAAGACACTTCGAGAGCTCTTTCTCCTACTCCCAAAAAAAGAATCCTTTTTGAATGTCATTACCTATTTTGGATTGAGAGGAAAGAGCAATCGAAGCTTCTTTTGGCCCCCCGGTAATATATTCTCCCCGGGAGATATTCATAGTGCTAAGTACGTGTCATCATTTTTTAGATAAAATCATCGAAGCTCCTTCTCCTGGGGTGGTTTGGTGTGAAATGCCCCCCAGAAAAAAAGCTTTGCTGACACTCCCCCACGTATGTGTGATCACCGCAAATATTAATAGTTCTAAATGTTTGGAAACGAGATCGTACCACCGGGGGGTCTGGAATACCCCCCCCCCCAGGAAAACTCTTCGAGAGCTCCTTCTCCTACTCCCAAAAAAGAATCCTTTTTGAATGTCATTATTCTGGATTGAGAGGAAAGAGCAATCGAAGCTTCTTTTGGCTGGGGGGTATTCCATACCCCCCAGACCCCCCGGTAATATATTCTCCCCGGGAGATATTCATAGTGCTAAGTACGTGTCATCATTTTGTAGATAAAACCATCGGAGCTCTTTGTCCTGGGGAGGTTTGGTGTGAAATGCCCCCCAGAAAAAAAAGCTTTGCTGACACTCCCCCACGTATGTGTGATCACCGCAAATATTAATAGTTCTAAATGTTTGGAAACGAGATCGTACTACCGGGGGGTCTGGGGGGTATGGAATACCCCCCAGGAAAAGACTCTTCGAGAGCTCCTTCTCCTACTCCCAAAAAAGAATCCTTTTTGAATGTCATTATTCTGGATTGAGAGGAAAGAGCAATCGAAGCTTCTTTTGGCTGGGGGGTATTCCATACCCCCCAGACCCCCGGTAATATATTCTCCCCTGGAGATATTCATAGTGTTAAGTACGTGTCATTTAAAAAAATGACAATGATCGTGGACCAAAAGGAACGTAGGGATGGAAGCAGACTGACAAATAATAGACGTAAACTCAGAAATAATTTACTATTGATCAAATTCAAACTGACAACGATACGTGTCGTGCTTCATTTGTGTGTTTTAACGTGGGCGTTTAAGTTTGATTTCGACGCAAAGGACTTCTCGCAAACGGGGCAAACGTATGGCTTTTCTCCCGCATGTCGGCGTAAATGAACCGTCAGTGAGCTTCTTTGCGTAAAACGTTTGTCGCAAAGGTCACAAGCGTAAGGTTTCTCGCCGTTGTGCACCCGTTCGTGAATCCGCAACAAGTTTCCGTTGGTAAATCGCTTTTCGCAATAACTGCATTCAAACGGCTTTTCTCCCATATGCACTCTTAGGTGGTTCTGAAAATTTTGAAGATCGGCGATCTGTTTTCCGCAGGTATCGCAGGTGTAGTAATAATTTCTTCTATGCACCTTCCTCTCGTGCGACTTGAGCAAATTACGCGAAAGAAAGTTTGCGTGCACTATTTGTGGCGAATCTTTCAACCATTTGAAGCTGCTGATTGACCACGCGAACGACGTGCAGGACGGCGAGTATCGGCATAAGTGCGAGGAATGTAGGACGGCCTTCAGTAGCAAGCGGACTTTGCGGGCCCATCGGAAAGAAGTGCACCCGGCCGGGCCCTATAAGTGTGCGGAGTGCGAAAAAGTGTTCCAGATCGAGAACGTTTTTAAGAAGCATCAGGAAACGCATCTTATCAGTCCCGAAGACTTGACGTGCCATCCATGCGACCGTAGAATTCTACGGTCGCATCGATGGCACGTCAAGTCTTCGGGACTGATAAGATGCGTTTCCTGATGCTTCTTAAAAACGCTCTCGATCTGGAACACTTTTTCGCACTCCGCACACTTATAGGGCCCGGCCGGGTGCACTTCTTTCCGATGGGCCCGCAAAGTCCGCTTGCTACTGAAGGCCGTCCTACATTCCTCGCACTTATGCCGATACTCGCCGTCGTGCACGTCGTTCGCGTGGTCAATCAGCAGCTTCAAATGGTTGAAAGATTCGCCACAAATAGTGCACGCAAACTTTCTTTCGCGTAATTTAGGTTTCCACTCCGGACTCGATGAGGAACTATCGCGGGACGTGCGCAGTTGGACCTCCAGCATGTCGGCGAGTACCAGGCCCCTACAAAAAAAAGACCAAGGTAAAATTCAAAGCTTGAGATCGCGGATCTAGTATCATGGTGAAATAAGAAAGCATCTCAGATTTATTGGAAACTCAAGCCGATTACACAATACAGGGCGTTTCAAAAAGAATCATCCGATTTTATTTTGCTATTCATCTATAAGTCTGATTTGATAGAACAATGTACTGTAAGTAAGAGGAAGCTCTCGAGTTTCGCGTGGTTTCCGCTAGGTAGCAGTAGCGCGCTTCTGTCAACGCCCAGCTCAGTTATTGTCAAAATGGCGTCTAAACAACAGAAAGCCTACAAAATCGGATGATTCTTTTTGAAACGCCCTCTACAATGATATACAGTAGATAGATAGAACTTTATTGCTCTTGAAGTACAAAGTAACAATCTGACGAAATAAACAATGACAGAGGAATATCGTGTCCCTGGTGCACAATTTTATTTATTTATTTTCGACACTTCAACTAACAGGATCGTGTGCCTATCTTCGTTACCTAAAACACAATTTTTCGAAACTTACCTAACCTTCGAGTGGTACCCGGTGATAGATTCTCCCCCAAGACATTTACAATCCGGTTTTAACCTCATCAGAGGTGGACCGGTGCAGCACAGCCCCTCAATACTAATTCAACAATCACCACTAAACTTGGATTTAGTGCAGCAGCCGGCTAACTCTAAACTATAGAGTCGTGAAGGATCGAAATCCTGCCATGTACAATTGCTACTTTCAAACTCAAAAATTATAGTAGGGCGCCAGATCAAGCCAAAGCATGGAACCCTCTTGATCAAGGAGGATAGGCTCTTCCAAGTAAAATGTATGAACATGAATAAAACTCGTAGATAATTGTGGCAAGAGAAACAGAATATATTTATATTCAAATAAATGACGTTAATGGACAGGCAAATTATACGCAACGAAATGGTATTAATGGTGTGAAGCCCTGATATCTGATTGAACATTAATTAGGAGGTTTCATTCGTTACCACCATGTTATAAACAGTGGCGTGAGTGCCTTAGTTCTGACGTTAGATATACGGGTCCTGGAATTGCTAGCTAGCCCCGCACCCTGAGTATATTACAAGTATGTCCAATGGAGGTTTACCCAAGTTAACCACCAATATAAATTCAACGAATTCCCCTTTACAAGTACGCAATGGAAATGAGGTAAGTATTTGTAATTACATTAAATCATACACAGAACTGGTGAATTATTAGGTACATTTGTTTTTTTTCCAACATATGCCACAAATAAATTAAAGTAGGGTTTAAACATATTAATTATTTCTAAATAGTGATACGACCTTTACTTTCGCCGCAAGGAATGGTAATAGTAGATAAGGATTGGTTTATCAGACCTGCTGGTTTGTAGTGCCGTTGCCCATGACCTTAACCTTAGGTAAAGCCGGGACCGGTGTCTGAGGAAAAGCTAAAAAAAGACGACTTCTACTGCATGCCAAAATTAAGAGGTAACCCTTACCTAGATGTTATAGCTTTATCATTAATTCCCTTAGCCAAAGATGCCTATTACGATAACTCTCACGAATCGTACCAAACTATAAATTAATGGTGGTACTCTCAAAGATATTTCGATTAATTACCTTACCTTATAACTATAGTTCTAACGTCCTAACAAGCCTATTTAATATGTACAAGTAATTAAATTCCTAGCATTGTATCTGAAACTGATAATTTTAATTTTAGCCAATAAACGAGATAGTAAAAATTACCTTCGAGGAGGATCACTTCTGATCTGAATAATCAAACTACTGAGCCCGGTCAACACGCCAACAACTCTACTTCAGTCGGAAAACAGTAGCAAAATATGGGAGCTAGTAGACAGATCCTGAATATATATCAGTAAATTCTACAATTTATTATTTTAGCTCTAACTAGCCACCCAAAAGCCAATCACTCTCTCTCGATTTTCTACCAAAAATACGTTGCCTTACCCAAAATTATCACCCAAGGAATGTGACCTTACAGATAACTAAATTTCCAAAACTAATATTATATACCTGCCTAAATATATGCAACTTACATTGCGCCTATCTAACTACCCTTAAACTATCCTAGATGCTATTTTCAATTGCTACACCGGGTCAAGCATAGCGTGACCCGGCGACCCAGCTTGATTCGGTGACACAAATTAAATTTTAATGTTGGCGCAGTTTATTATCTAGGAGTCAAATTCAGTCCAATGGAAACAATAAGAAAATTAGTTCATCTCTGATGTCAAACAGATACATAAACAATTAGTCCGGTCGATACATCACATACCGTGCGTTTTTGATAGTGGACCTTTTTTTTTTATTGTTGTAATTAGTTCATTAGGTATTAAAGATTAAATTTACGGGAGCCATTTCCAAAATATTGTCAGGTTGTTGAGTCAATATCAGTAATTACTTCCAATAATAAACCGATATACAATCCAAATGATTTTAAACGCTTCCAATAAGTATAATTAACCATATTAACCTACGAAACCCTTTAGACTACTTGCTTGCAAGTACTTCCGTGTGATTTTATTTACCTAATTTAGTTTATTGTAATTATTCTAATTATTTCAGGTCTGTCCCGCGACCAGTTCATCATATTAAATTTCGCGAAACGCATTTTGTCTTTATTCGACCCCCCCCCCCCCCCCCCCCCCCCTCCAAAATTAGGGCTTCACGAAAAAAATTACGAGAGGGCGTGTCGTCGGACGCTCTCGAATTTAAGAAATTTTAAAAAAATTTTACGGTCACGTTTTGCGAACGATTGGCGAAAAAAGTGCCAAAAAAAGGTAACTCCCTCTCCTCGGTTCGACGGTCCGCGATCGAACCCCGACCGCGGCACTCGGAAGCGCCCTCGAACCGCGAGTCCGAGACGGAAAACCGCAACTCGATCCGCCCCCCGTTCCCCCGCCGCGACCCACGGACTTTTACCTCCACGTAGCGGGAGTGCGAGTTCGCGCGACGGCGCGTCCGGAAGCGTCTCGACATCCGCGTCCGTTTTCGACACACACGCCGTCGCTCGACTCGGTTTCCTATTTTTCCCGGGGAAAAACTGTTTTACCCCCAAAAAGCGCACTTTTTATAAAAAAATTCACAGGAGCTCCGCTTCGCGTCGCGCGCCTATCCCCACAGCACTATTCTTTCGCGCGACGAGGTCGGCCAGCGGCGCGCAACGTAAAGTTTTTTTCGTAACTCTTCTCCTTCGTCCGCCGCGAATTTTCAAAGTCGCGCTCGGTCGAAAACGACCTCCGGGGCAAAGTTCGCGTCCGCTCCCACCTCCCTCGGTGGTTCGAGGCGGATCGAAAAAAATTGGTAAAAGTGGGCACCCCTAACGCTACGGATTCCGAAAGTACCGAGCCCGTAGGTCGAAAACTTCTCCTCCAGGTCTGAAAAGGTTTTTTTTTCATGTCTTACGGCCCCCCCCCCCCCCCCGCCGGAGGGCGATAAGAAATTTCACCGTATGCGATTCGACGCGGCCGTCCTCGGTACCCCCCGGGGCCGCGGCGGCTTCCGCGCGACACTTACCTTTGGTCCTCCGGAGGGGGTTTTATGGGGAAAAACACGAAAAGGCGGGTGGCGCGGGGGGAAAACCGGTCGAACGATTTGCTTCGTTTTTACTTATTTTCATGTCGTCGTCGTACTCGACGATTTTACAAATTTTCGTGAAAATCCTGCAGGCGGTTTCGAATATGCTTTGGGTGGAAGTCAGAAGAGACCAGATTGCGGCCTGTTATGTATACAGAACCTGCATTACCCAGGGTTGCCCAAATGATTCTTCAACACCAAAATAACGAAGAGGTAGAAGAACGAGAAGCCGATGAACCATTCATTGTCAATGATTCAGCAGTGGAAGACAGCGACACGGATGATGAATAAATATTAATATTTTGTTTCTTTTAAGTGCGTAGCTAAATGTTATATTTTTAACCACCCTGTATAATATATGTTCTAAATATTTACAGGTCTTTAATTTAAACCTAAAAGTTTAAAATAACAATATTTTTCAAATAGGTAGTTAGTTTAACCATTTTTTTGTTTTTCGGGATGAAATTCAAAATTGCGGCCAAACGACAATTTTTTTTCACGAGGCTCCCATATTTAAAATAATTAAAATCATATTAAAAGCGAGTATCAGTAATAAAAAAAAGGTCCCCACAGAAAACGCACGGGACTTACTATCTCGACCGGACTAAATAGAGAGCTTTTCTCCAGCACCACACAAACTACACTACACAGTAATGTATTGACATACTAGGGATCTTCATGGCGTCACTGGGTCAATCTGATGAGCAACTGAAGAAAGTATGAAGGGATCCAGTGACCCTGGGACCCAGTCCAATTCTGGTCATCATCATTCTAAAGCAATGGAAGCTATTTGTACAACACTGATATCATAGCTACAGCCTGGGTTCTGGTTCTGTTGATATAAAATTAATCTTGACCTTAAAATTACACACCTTTGCAAAGTGATTTAATCGATAACATTTTCTACATTAATGTAATATAAATATTGATACAATAAAAAAATCATAACTCCCTTAGTTTTCAATCGATTTCGAGAAATGAAGCATTGGATTTGTATTTTAAAGCTTCACAAATTCCCTTTCCTGACTTTTTCCGAAAAAAAAATAATAATAACAAAGTTATTAGCAAAAAACATGAAAATCCAAGATGGCGGCTCAATTTTCAGGATGTTCCGCACCTCGGAGCTATGGGGACATTTAGTATGTTAAAGAGCATTATTGGTACTACTAATTTCGGGCATCGCTTGCTTGTCCCGAATTTGTTCTAGGTTGAACTCTAATTTTACTCGACTAAGTGTCCAGATGATGATGCCCCCTTCTTCTTTACCGCACTAACCTCCGGCTTCTCTTTTATCAACTCGCAGGAGAATTGCCGCTCGTACACCTTCATAATAATAATAATAATGGCCTTTATTCACATTCCGTTCAAAAAAACACAACTAAAATAATATATAAACATGTACAAAGAAAAGAAGAATCTGCTCTTACACTTTACCCACAACACATATATACATTTATTTATGATGGCGAATGAGAATCCTAAGTTATAAAATTTAAAGAGAAAAAAAAATTCGATTCTGTAGCATACAAGTATCAAAATAAAAAAAATAGACCAATACAAGTAATCAAATTTTAATTAATTAACACATACATTGACTCTCAAATAACCACTTTTTTGTTTTTATTTTGAATGCCAACAAAGATACATTTTTGAAAGAGTCCGGTAGAGCGTTGTAGTGTTTCGCTATGTAGTAGGAGAAGCATTTTTCAAATGAGCTATATTTATGTAAAGGAGTAGTTAGAAGTCCTTTATTTCTTTTTTACACCATTTTCTTTATTCAAACTGCCGGTTGTCGTTATGAAAAGTTTGTATCCGCTTACAAACTTTTTCCAATTCTTTGACCAATCGCCTTCCATACTCATAGGCTTCGGCTGATTTAACAACTGCATCGCTATCTTCTTTTACTAAAAAAATATTAAATAATAGCACCGACTGCGCCATGTCACCATGACTATCAACTCAACAATGATCTTTATTCAAACGTATAAAGTCACTAGATATAGAAAGTACCGCAATCATCCGCCATTTTTGGGCAAATTTGCTGCCAACTTAAAAAAATTGACACATAAAATCTGAATAGCTGTCATTTTTTATAACCTAACTTCATAGTACTGTCATGTTTTATTAAAATATATACAGATATCTCCAAACCGGCGGAACAATCCCTAACATTAAAGTTACTAGAATCTGGCAACTTCCGCCATTTTTGGGCAAAAATCATGCGTTCTTTCTCTAACACACGAGCCCAATGGATTGCGGTACTTTCTATATTTAGTGACTTTAACAAACGTATTTACATTAACGCCATCTAGCGGTATTCCAATAACATAAATAATATTATGACAAGTCCCTGTTATAATTTTAAGAAAACCACTGAAGCTACGTCTAAACGTTTAGAAACAAAAACGTCTCACCCGGGGGTACCTCCAGGTTAAAAGATCTTGGAAGAGCTTCTTTTCGCTCTTGTCTTCAGAATTAGGGCTCGTAACGTCTAACTAACTGCAACGCCAACTTGGCAAATAGCTGGAGCCAGAAGACAATAAAACCAAATAATAATGCAGTCACCTATGGCGCTACCACCCTACCTGCAATTCTTCCTTTCAGTGTCAACTCGACTCAAATAAGTCTAGGCAGTGGAGACGGGTGGGGTTCCACGTTAGCCGGAACCAAATCCTAAAAGTGACAAAAAGTTGTGGCCGCCACCTACTCGGATTCCCAACCGCTGCTTATGTACCGGGAGTCGGACCGTAGGTGGTAATTTAAAGGAAGAATCGAGCGACAGCTCAGGTACCCAGGGTACTCACACACTTTCGCAATCAAAACACAAACACATACAACTTGACTACCCCTCTTTAATAACTATTTAACAAATCTCCAAATAATTGTAATTAATAACAAGAGTAAATAATAGAATCTGCAACTCGTGCCACACAAACCAATTAAATAGTCGCCGAATCAAGTACCCAAAATTCCCCCCCCCCCCTTAAATGACAAACAAGCATGACTTCGACGCCGAACACCCGAGTAGCAGGGAATAATATCGGATTTCCGATTTAACTGCTACCTCAAAACGTACACAATACGAACTATTACACCGATCAGTTACACATAAATATTTAAGATACCTGGTGGATGCATCACAAAGAATCAATTGGCAGCCTGATTTGCTGCAACCCAATACACAAAATTCAATAAATCTCTATATATAAAAATGAACCCGTTTTTTCTGGTCACCCAATAACTTTAGAACGACTTTACCGATTTCACTCATCACTCAAAAATAAATAAAACCATCCCGTATTAAGGAGCCACTTGAAGCTTTCGGAAATCACGCAGACGGTAACAATTGGTTTAGTCCTAATGCACAAACCCAAAATAGCAATGCATTATACAATATGAAGTCCGCAAATTTATACTTAAATTGTTTATACGAAGTATGCCAAATAAAAACTTACTTGTTACCTATTTCAAAAATAATTGTTATCAAAAACATTTACCTACAATTAACTTTTTATAAAAAGGTTGGTACGGTACGGGAATAAATAATTGAGAATCTCCCCAAAGGCAGAACCACAGCACACCTTACGAAATTTCCCAGATCGAAAAGGTATGCTCGGGCGCCATGAAATGCAAAATCGTGCTTTTCCAGTGTCAAGGAGGGGAACTAAGAAGCGACTTCGAGACAAATAAGGAAATGGGAGATGGAATTCAGCCACGCCGCATCCATAAAGGAATTCACACAAAAATTATTATCAACAATCATGTGAATACCGTGGTGAACCGCATTAATAATGCAATATTGTCATACTTTATTTTTAAAAAAAGACAGTGTTCTATTCAGTGTTTAAGCGCTTGTGCGTCCTGAAGTGCGAGTTTAAGCTCGTTTTCGAAACGAAGGATTTGTCGCAAATGGTACACGGATAGGGCCGTTCCCCTGTGTGCAGACGTAGGTGGATTCCCAGCGTGCTCCTTTGTGAGAAACGTTTCGGGCACAGGTCGCAGCAGTACGGCTTCTCTTTAGTGTGCACGCGCTCGTGCACCACCAGGAATTTCTTCGCGGAAAAGGTCTTGTCGCAATGACTGCACTTAAACGGTTTCTCGCCGGAGTGTATTCTCAGATGATTCTTAAAACTCTCGAGGCTCGTGATGCGTTTACCGCAGGTATCGCAGATGAGCTGCTGGTCTTTGCTGTGGCTCTTCATGTGAGTTCTAAACGATTGCTCGGATGAAAGTGTACTGCTGCACAGCTGGCAGGACCAAGTCCGAGGTGCGTAATCGGGTTGATGCGTTCGACGATGCTTTTTAAACCAGACTTTGTCTTTGTATACTTTATGGCAGTCGGGGCACTCTTGGGTGACGTCCATGTGCGCTCGGCTCTGGTGCACACTCAAACTGGTCTTGCTAATACACACTTTCCCGCACTCCTCGCACTTATATTTGCAGTCGCCGCCGTGCAAGAATCTGAAATGGGCCCGTAACAGCGGCTTGTGCTTAAAGGATTTCTGACAGAGATCGCACTCGAACCTCTCGCCGGTCCTATGAACCGACTCGTGCTTCTTCGCCTCTCCCCGGTACCTAAACAGCTTCCCGCACGTTTCGCAGGGATATCTCGGCTTTGCCTTGTGCATTCTGCTTTTGTGCGCCCGTAGTACTCCATTGCTCGTGTACGTCTTTTGACACACCGGGCAAGTGTGGCCTGGCTGCCTAAAAGAAGAAGAAATAATTAAATCGCTTTCGACTGCGCGGATGTAAAAAAGGAATGATGGCGACAATAAGTTTTTATTTCAAAAATAGACGCCGGATCACAATGCTAATACTGAACACAAAAACATCAAGACAACGAGAGACACTAGTTGACTATTCGGAACGTCCGGGGCAGCTTCTCAGGTGTAGGTTTAGAACGCCTCGCGAAATAAAGGCGGCGTTGCAGATGTGACAGACGTACGGCCTTTCGCCCGTATGGCTGCGCACGTGGAGGCGCAGCGGCGCCCCCTGGTTGAAGCACTTTCCGCAGTACTGGCACGAGTAGGGCTTCTCGCCGCTGTGGACGCGCTCGTGCATGATCATGTAGTCGCGTTTCGTGAAGCTCTTGTCGCAGTAGGAGCACGCGTAGGGTTTCACGCCGGTGTGCACCCGGTAGTGGATGCGCAGCTTTTCCGTGCGCGAGAACCCCTTGCCGCAGATGTCGCAAAGGTGCTTCTTCTCGAACACCTTCTTCTCGCCGATGACGACGTGCTGTCGCATGTGCTTCTCGAGGCTGTTCTGACGCGTGAATCGCTTCGAGCAGACGCAGCACTGGTTCGTGCCGATCATTCCGTCGATGGTCACCTGGTGATTGCGGACCTGGTGAGAGGTGAGGTAGCTGGAGAACGCGAACTCCTTGCCGCAGACGACGCAGCGGAACGGTTTGATGCCCTGGTGCACGTTGTGGTGCTCCTTAAACAAGACGCAATCGTTGAAGCCCTTCCCGCACAGCGTGCAGGTGTAGATGTACTTCCTCAGGTGATACGTGTTGATGTGAATCATGATGGCCGTCCTCCTGGGGGTGGTGTACTTACAGAAGGGGCATCCGAAACCCTTGCTCTGGTCGTGATTGAACAGATGAGTCGAATACTCGTAGGGCTTCACGAAGGTCTCGCTACAGATGTCGCAGACGAATTTCTCTTCGTGCTCCAAAACGTGCGACTCGATCTTATCCTTGGTCTCCCACTCCGCGTCGCACGTAAAACAAATGAACACCCCCTTCTTGTCATCGTACTTGTAATTGTATTGGGCGACATTGTCGTCCTTCCGATGTAACTTGCGATGCTCCCTCAGCCTCCTGGAGGTGTCAAACTTCTCACTGCACTTCTTACAGTTCCAAATTCTGCCGGTTCTGTTTCGTTTCGCGGGCGAGGAATCGCTCAACGGCTCCTCTTTGACGCGCAATCTGCAAGCAAAGAACCGATGTTAGACTCATCAAGCGGCTAAGGCGAAGAAGTGGCCATTCGAGTTACTTACCAAAGTGCGACCTACGGGACTAAATGCACAAACATAAACAAAAATAGAATCTTTATTTCTCTCATTACATAAACTACAAACAACGAACAGCGCAGGCTAAAATGGCGGAAGACGATCATTCTTTGGTTGGCACTGATGCCGATTGTACAGGGCAAGGCTCATGTACCAGTTTGTGCACTTCGGGCACACAAACGGAATTTTGTGCGCGTTAATGCAGTGCTCTTCCAGTAGGCGAAACTCGGCCGATGTAAACGGGCACAATTTACAAATGAAGGCGGTATCGATCTCGTCATCGGACTCGTCTATCGTTATCACATCGCTATCGTCCGACTTGCGCTTGACACCTACAACTCAACTTTAACCTCAACCACGTGCTCGTAGCGATTACCTGCGGGATCTTTGGCCGCTTTTCTGCTGTAGGTCCTCAAAGCGGGCTTGGTGCCCACGTTGTAGACGGTCTCGAACCGCGGTTCGTCCGCCGCCTCCTCGCCCTTACAATCGGCGAGCTTGTGTTGCATGACCTTGATCGAGTCCGTGAAGATCTGCTCGCACCTGTCGCACGTCAGCGACTGCTCCCACCGGCTGAGCGTCGTCTCGTCGCACCCGTGCCGCTTCGTGCTGTGCTGGCACCAATCGCTGCGACCGTTAAACGTCGTGCTGCAAATACTGCAGACGTACTGAGGGAGACAGCGAGACTCCTGGTGGACGGAGAACTTGTGGTACATGTGAACGCACAGCAGGTCGAAGCTCTGGAAGATCTGGTGGCAGCACTTGAACTGTGGCGGCGTCGCCTCTACTTTTTCGGTCGCGATCGGTTGCGAGTCATTTTCCGCGGACGCGATTGGCTGATCGTCCTCTTCCTTTGGCGCGCGCTCCTTCTTGTGCAGAAGCCGGTGCGAGCGCAACTCGTCGACATTGGCGCACTCCCTCATACAAACGCAGCACTTCGGTTTCGCGTTCGTCACCTGCCCGGCGTTGCTGTTGGGGCACGAACTCGCGTGCAACGTCAACGCTTGGGCACTTTTGAAGCTCTTCCTGCACAACTTGCAGGTTTGAGCCATTTGGCGAGCGGAATGCACCCGCATGTGACTCCACAGTGAATTTCGATCAGAGAACTGTTTCACGCAAATGTAACACTTCAAGTTCTGCTTCTTCTTCGGCGCGCTCATCTTCAGCTTGTGCACCATGCTGTGACACTTCAGCTTCAGACTGTCGCCGAATTTCTTCCCGCACTTGTCGCACGCGTACGACGGCTTCGTGTAAATGCTACCGAATACGTTTAGGCACTCGCCCCTCTCGACGGGTCTTCCCTTTATATCTTCCAGCACCACCACGGCCTCCTTCAGGTCATAGGCGGCTTTTAACCCTACTGGCAGTGATCTGAAAAATGATACTTGTTAATAGACATCTTGGCGGCGGGGAGGCGCGGCACGGAAAGAAACAGAAACACAATCGTCGCATTTCTTTATTAAAAACCGCCTAAAATAATAATAAACAAAAGTTCTACAGACTACCAGTGCTGTCCTCTTTGACCACCATCGTTGCATGTGCCATCTCCATTTTCACTTTGCGCGATGCTCTCTGACCGAAATCCGTTGGCATTTCTTAAACGGGCGGGCCAAGAGCCGACCTTGCTCTACCTTCGTAGTAAGACGCATCTGGTCGGTTGCGATAAGGAGTTTTATCAGGCGAAAATTAATTACCGCACGTGTTTTATCGCCGATAACGGAGACGAAGAATTGCGCGTTTATTTTCGGCGAGTTACTTGCAGAAATTATGGCAAAAGTGGTTTCTTTAAATACCGGAATCAACGAGGAGAATTCAGCGACGGTAAAAAGAGCGTGTAAATTTGTTTACGGTAATCTCGGGCAGTCAGCCCTATTTGTTTTGCTGAAGGCGCAATTCGTTTTTTTTTTAATAATAAATTTGTCCAGAAGCGTCTGAACCAAAGTGGTTCAAGAAGTTGAACGCGAATTCCGATTCCGAAGGCCTTTCGTTGAGGTTCTCTTTTTATTAAAAGTACGGACCGTCCGAACGGCCACTGAACTTTAGCGCGCCCATATCGTAAACTTGTACGACCAAATTATTTAGATTATGAAAAAAAGCTGAGGAATTTCATATTTTTTTTATTTTTAATTATCGACCGCCTGCGTGGGGAGTATTATGTACAAACAAGCGTTGTAAGATTATCTTTTTTTCAGGGATTTTGTTCTAATTGTTTCATTTGTTTCGGAATACTTTTTGTCATTGTCAATCAATCACTTGTGTGTTTACTCGCACCCATTGAGCGACCCGGATAGAGTTTTCATGTCAATTTTTGTCTGTTGGCGCCTAAGATTTGTTTCAGGTGTTGCTCAAAATTTGTGTAATACGTCCATTGGACTTATAGAAGTTTATCGAGTCGCTGGATTTAAGCAACTTTAAGTAAACATTAGGATTTTAATTGGTTAATTGGTTGGGTCATTGAAAATAAAATGTTTTGTCAAAATCAAAAGATTGCGTTTTTTGAATTGATAGAGAATCAATTATTTAACAATCGACGGTCAGACAGACAGACAATGCACTTGCCGAGCCCGTTTAGAATTACTGGTTAATTGGTTGAGTAATTGAAAATAAAATCTGTTGTCATAATAAAAAAATCGAGTTTTTTGAACTGATAGAGAATCAATTATTTAACAATCGACGGTCGGGCAGACAGACAATGAACTTGTTGAGCCCGTTTAGAATTACTGGTTAATTAGCTGAGTCAATGAAAACGAAATCTGTTGTCAAAATCAAAAAATTGAGTTTTTTGAATTGATAAGAATCAATTATTTGATAATCGACGGTTGGACACACAGACAATGCACTTGTCGAGCCCGTTTAGAATTACTGGTTAATTGGTTGAGTAAATGAAAATAAAATCTGTTGTCAAAATAAAAAAATCGCGTTTTTGAACTGATAAGAGAATCAATTATTTGACAATCGACGATCAGACAGGCAGATAATGCACTTGTCGAGCCCGTTTAGAATTACTGGGTAATTGGTTGAGTAATTGAAAATAAAATCTGTTGTCAAAATAAAAAAATCGCGTTTTTTGAATTGATAGAGAATCAATTATTTAACAATCGACGGTCAGACAGACAGACAATGCACTTGTCGAACCCGTTTAGAATTACTGGTTAATTGGTTGAGTAATTGAAAATAAAATCTGTTGTCATAATCAAAAAATCGAGTTTTTTGAAATGATAGAGAATCAATTATTTAACAATCGACGGTCAGACAGACAGACAATGCACTTGTCGAACCCGTTTAGAATTACTGGTTAATTGGTTGAGTAAATGAAAATAAAATCTGTTGTCAAAATAAAAAAATCGCGTTTTTGAACTGATAAGAGAATCAATTATTTGACAATCGACGATCAGACAGACAGATAATGCACTTGTCGAAAATCAAAAAATCGAGTTTTTTGAACTGATAAGAGAATCAATTATTTGACAATCGACGATCAGACAGGCAGATAATGCACTTGTCGAGCCCGTTTAGAATTACTGGGTAATTGGTTGAGTAATTGAAAATAAAATCTGTTGTCATAATCAAAAAATCGAGTTTTTTGAACTGATAGAGAATCAATTATTTAACAATCGACGGTCAGACAGACAGACAATGCACTTGTCGAACCCGTTTAGAATTACTGGTTAATTGGTTGAGTAATTGAAAATAAAATCTGTTGTCATAATCAAAAAATCGAGTTTTTTGAACTGATAGAGAATATTATTTAACAATCGGCGGTCAGACAGACAGACAATGCACTTGTCGAGCCCGTTTAGAATTACTGGTTAATTGGTACAGTAATTGAAAATAAAATCTGTTGTCAAAATCAAAAAATCGAGTTTTTTGAACTTGATAAGAATCAATTATTTGATAATCGACGGTCGGACAGGCAGACAATGCACTTGTCGAGCCCGTTTAGAATTACTGGTTAATTGGTTGAGTAATTGAAAATAAAATCTGTTGTCAAAATAAAAAAATCGCGTTTTTTGAATTGATAGAGAATCAATTATTTAACAATCGACGGTCAGACAGACAGACAATGCACTTGTCGAACCCGTTTAGAATTACTGGTTAATTGGTTGAGTAATTGAAAATAAAATCTGTTGTCATAATCAAAAAATCGAGTTTTTTGAACTGATAGAGAATCAATTATTTAACAATCGACGGTCAGACAGACAGAAAATGCACTTGTCGAGCCCGTTTAGAATTACTGGGTAATTGGTTGAGTAATTGAAAATAAAATCTGTTGTCATAATCAAAAAATCGAGTTTTTTGAACTGATAGAGAATATTATTTAACAATCGGCGGTCAGACAGACAGACAATGCACTTGTCGAGCCCGTTTAGAATTACTGGTTAATTGGTTGAGTAATTGAAAATAAAATCTGTTGTCATAATCAAAAAATCGAGTTTTTTGAACTGATAGAGAATCAATTATTTAACAATCGACGGTCAGACAGACAGATAATGCACTTGTCGAGCCCGTTTAGAATTACTGGGTAATTGGTTGAGTAATTGAAAATAAAATCTGTTGTCATAATCAAAAAATCGAGTTTTTTGAACTGATAGAGAATATTATTTAACAATCGGCGGTCAGACAGACAGACAATGCACTTGTCGAGCCCGTTTAGAATTACTGGTTAATTGGTTGAGTAATTGAAAATAAAATCTGTTGTCATAATCAAAAAATCGAGTTTTTTGAATTGATAAGAATCAATTATTTGATAATCGACGGTCGGACAGGCAGACAATGCACTTGTCGAGCCCGTTTAGAATTACTGGTTAATTGGTTGAGTAATTGAAAATAAAATCTGTTGTCATAATCAAAAAATCGAGTTTTTTGAACTGATAGAGAATCAATTATTTAACAATCGACGATCAGACAGACAGATAATGCACTTGTCGAGCCCGTTTAGAATTACTGGGTAATTGGTTGAGTAATTGAAAATAAAATCTGTTGTCATAATCAAAAAATCGAGTTTTTTGAACTGATAGAGAATATTATTTAACAATCGGCGGTCAGACAGACAGACAATGCACTTGTCGAGCCCGTTTAGAATTACTGGTTAATTGGTACAGTAATTGAAAATAAAATCTGTTGTCAAAATCAAAAAATCGAGTTTTTTGAACTGATAGAGAATCAATTATTTAACAATCGACGGTCAGACAGACAGACAATGCACTTGTCGATCCCGTTTAGAATTACTGGTTAATTGGTTGAGTAAATGAAAATAAAATCTGTTGTCAAAATAAAAAAATCGCGTTTTTGAACTGATAAGAGAATCAATTATTTGACAATCGACGATCAGACAGGCAGATAATGCACTTGTCGAGCCCGTTTAGAATTACTGGGTAATTGGTTGAGTAATTGAAAATAAAATCTGTTGTCAAAATAAAAAAATCGCGTTTTTTGAATTGATAGAGAATCAATTATTTAACAATCGACGGTCGAATAGACAGACAATGGACTTGTCAAGCCCATTTCGGATTACTGGTTAATTGGCTGAGTCATTGAAAACGAAATCTTTTGTCATAATCAAAAAATTGAGTTTTTTGAATTGATAAGAATCAATTATTTGATAATCGACGGTCGGACAGGCAGACAATGCACTTGTCGAACCCGTTTAGAATTACTGGTTAATTGGTTGAGTAAATGAAAATAAAATCTGTTGTCATAATCAAAAAATCGAGTTTTTTGAACTGATAGAGAATATTATTTAACAATCGGCGGTCAGACAGACAGACAATGCACTTGTCGAGCCCGTTTAGAATTACTGGTTAATTGGTACAGTAATTGAAAATAAAATCTGTTGTCAAAATCAAAAAATCGAGTTTTTTGAACTGATAGAGAATCAATTATTTAACAATCGACGGTCAGACAGACAGACAATGCACTTGTCGATCCCGTTTAGAATTACTGGTTAATTGGTTGAGTAAATGAAAATAAAATCTGTTGTCAAAATAAAAAAATCGCGTTTTTGAACTGATAAGAGAATCAATTATTTGACAATCGACGATCAGACAGACAGATAATGCACTTGTCGAGCCCGTTTAGAATTACTGGGTAATTGGTTGAGTAATTGAAAATAAAATCTGCTGTCAAAATAAAAAAATCGAGTTTTTTGAATTTATAGAGAATCAAATATTTGATCGTAGACGGCCGAACAGACAATAGACTTATCGAGTCCGTTTAGAATTGTTTGCTAATTAATTGCAAATAAAATCTTTTGTCAAGTTTTTTGAATTGATACAGAATCAATTATTTGACCATAAACGGTCATACAGACAGACAATGAACTTGTCCGACCCGTTTTGCATTATTTGGCAATTTGTTGATTAATTAAATAAAATATGTCCTCCGTCCGTTCATGAGCCCGAGATCTCGGCACTCAGACCTAGGTATGAACCCGCAGCGTAGACGCAGGCGCATTTCAATTCAAGCGGTCGGGTTCATCCAATTTAATCAAAATGTATGCCGACGGTATTACGCTTTAGCCAATCGCGCGAGTGCGACGGTTTTACCACTTCCTTACTTATAATCAAGTAATTAAGTAACCAAAATAATCAGCCTCGTGCAGTTACAGCAAACCTGTACCATTTGATTATCTAATGATTATACAGGGTGTCCATTTAGTGGTATATCGGGCGATATCTAGAGGGAGTTTAAATGCAAACTTGTTCGCTGGTCTAATGTGCACAACGAAAAAATATTTGTATATGTACAGGGTGCTCCATAAATTCGGTACGAGACCCAACTTTTTTTAATTTTAAATTATGACATTTTTGCAAGGTTCGGGAGTGTTGGTCGTTTGCAATTAAGAAATCATACCGGGTGTTTCAAAATGAGAAATGTTTTTATTTAATACAACTACAAAAAAAAAACTAGCAATCACAGAAATGATGATGAACAAATACGGCGCTACTTCGACTCGATTCCCGAGCAGTGTTTCTGATGTAGATTGAGAACGCTCCTGGATATAAACCCGGTATGGCATAAGTTACACAAGTACGGACGTTCGCCGGTATGGCTGCGCACGTGCAGGCGTAGTGGCGCCCCCTGGTTGAAGCACTTGCCGCAGTGCTTGCACGAGTACGGCTTCTCGCCGCTGTGCACGCGCTCGTGCATGATTAGGTAGTCTCGCTTCGTGAAGCTTTTCGCGCAGTAGGAGCAGGTGTACGGTTTGACGCCGGTGTGCACCCGGTAGTGCACTCTCCATTTGTCGATCTGCGCGAAACTCTTGCCGCAGATGTCGCACAGGTGGCGCTTCTCGTGGACTTTTTTCTTGTCGTGTATTTTGAGGTGATTTTCCAAGGTCGTGTTCCTCGCGAAGTTTCTGAGGCAAACGTGGCACTGATTCTTGCCGAGTACGCCGTCGATCGTCACCCTGTGGTAGCGCACTTGGTGCGATGTCAAATAGCTCGAGAATGCGAAATCCTTATTGCACACGACGCAGCGGAAGGGTCTCTTGCCCTCGTGCACGTTGCTGTGCTCTTTGAACAGCAGACAGTCGTTAAAGCCCTTCCCGCACTGCGCGCAGTTGTAAATAAACTTGCGCAAATGGAACGTGTTGATGTGTATGATGATGGCCGTCCGTCTCGGGGTTTTATACTTACAAAACGGGCAGCAAAACCCCTTCGACTGATCGTGCCCGTACAGATGGCAAGAGTACTCGTAGGGCCTCACGAAGGCTTCCCCACACACCGAACACGTGTACTTCTCCTCGTGGTCCAAAACGTGCGTTTCCATTTCGAGCTTGCCGTCCGTCTCGACGTCGCACGTTAAGCAACAGTAAATCTGCCGCTTTTCGTCCAATCGGTAATTATACTGGATGTCGCTTTCGTTCTTTCGATGGCACTGCCGATGCTGGCGCAGCTTCTTCGACGTGTCGAAGTTCTCGCAGCACTTCGAGCAATTCCAAATGCGCCTCTGTCGACGCCTGAAAAAAGACGAATGTTACAAAACGAACAAGTGACGCGCGCGGATTGGGCCCTATACTTACCATTGGCGGGAAACAAGAAAGACAAAATTGTAAACAAATTTTTATTCGTGGAAGTTACATGTAAGTAAAATGCTTAAGATAGTACTAATTGTGTAATCCGTCGGTGACTTGAACGACTCCTTTACATGACTTGAGGTGGATCGTTACCATCGATCTGGCCGCGAACGCCTTGTTGCACAGATGGCAGAGGTAGGGTTTCTCGCCGGTATGTCCGCGCGTGTGGATCACCATGCTGGTGCGCTGCGAGAATCCTTTTCCGCAGAAAGGGCACTCGTACGGTTTCTCGCCGGTGTGAATCCGCTCGTGCTCGGCCCGGTACGAGCTGGTCTTGAAGCGCTTCTGGCAGAAGTCGCACTTGTAGGGCTTCTCTCCGGTATGGATGCGATAGTGGAGGCGTAACTTTTCGTTGCTGCTCAACGTTTTGCCGCAGACGTCGCAGATCGATACGGAGCCCGTGTGGGATTTCATGTGCGTGTTGAGGCTGTTTCGGTGAGAGTAGACCTTGTTGCAAATAGGGCAGTGGATCCCTTGCGGTGTTCGCTTGTGCATTTGCACCATGTGCGAGTTTAGGTATCGCGTGTACATGAACTTTTGCCCGCACTCCTTGCACTGGAACGGCTTTTCGCCGGTATGGAAGTACTTGTGCTCCTGGAAGTGGGTGAAGATCGCAAAACCCTTGCCGCACAGCTCGCACTTGTATTTCTTAAACTGGTCGTGCACGGAGTACAGGTGGGATTTCACCAGGTGGCCCTTGTCGGTCGCGAAGTCGCACAGCGGGCACTTGAACAGCTTATCGTCACTGTGTTCTTGCATGTGAAAGGTGTAGTCGATCAACTTCTTAAAGCCCATCTCGCAAATGTCGCACGAGTACTGATCGTCGTGTTTCTCGAAGTGCTCGTCCAGTAAGGATTTGGTCGAGAACTCATCGGAGCAGATTTCGCACCTGAACACTTCGGGTCGCGGAGAACGCGGGCGTTTGGAGCGGGCCCTTCGGAAGAATCTCTTATTGTTCGTAATCTCCACGTCGTGAATTGTTAGGTAATGCTCCTTCAATTCGCCCTTTGCCATCGCGCGGTCGTCCTTACAAATGTGACAGTAGAAACCGACCGACTCGCCGACCTTCGTCTTGTCGTCATCAAAATGCATCAGTATCTGCTGATGGCGCTTGTAATGTCTCTTCAGCTGCTCGGCGCTCATCACCTTTCCGTTGTTGCATAAAAGACACGTGCTCTCGGTCGGCGACTCGGTATGCGCGAAGAGACTTTCCATCTTCTCCTCGATGCCATCATTGAACACCACCTCCAGCTCTTCCTCTTCATTGTCCGTGCTGAACATTTGATTCAGCTCATCCTCGAGGTACTCTTCCTTGATCATCCTGTTCTTCGACTTTCGCCCAGCGCTCGCTTGGTCGTCGTGGTACGTTTCGGCCTTGATCGGAACTTGTAAGTGAGCGCGGTTGCGCGAGCGACCTTTACGGAATCTGAAATAAAAACACGTGTTAGATAAAACATTTATTGCGACGAGAAAGCCCACAATGGCGTGAATGCATTTTAAATACAAAATTTTCTACACGAATAAAAATACAATAAGCGTTATCACAACTGATTTTATTAGTTACGGTCGCCCGATGGTTTTACTCCAGTACTGTTCGGTCTTGATGTTTATGTTACTCTTTAAATGTCGTCCTGGTGATCTACAAAAGACCAGTTAGTAATCACAATAACCCGTTCGACAACAAATCTGGGTGTTGTCCAATTACCCTAGAAACCTGAAAGAACTTTTATTTCCAGCCCAGTCTGCCCGAGCAACTCGACTCGGAGGTCTCTGCGCCGTAGACCTCCGCCCGACTACGCATTTGTCACCAATCAAATTTAACTCAACTAATATCCGGGTGCCATGGTGGCACATAGTCGCATGAGCACACACACATATATATATATATATATATACACACGCGCCGTTTGAGTGACGTAACGTACCGGATACAGGTTTAAGCGAGTGGTGTTGGGGAACGGTAGAAACAGGTCACATTATCGACTATTTATTACATTTCAATAATCATAAAACTGAAAAAGCGCTTAATAATACACATTATAAAAATTTATTCCTTGTCGAGGTTTCTGTGGAGGGGGGAGAGAACATTTCTAAGGACGTTGAATTGAACAAACACAAGATTCGATATGACTCATCAAGGGTTAGGTGAAATATTTATTAACTACGCTAAAGTATAACCTACTAATCTTAAACTATTTCTCTGTACTTCTGACTTAGTAGAAGAACGACAAAAAATGTACAATAAATACGGTCTTACGCGCTTATTTACAATAAAAATTTGTACCTTGCTCTAAAAACACTAAAGGGACAACTGTAACTTTGAAGAGACGGCCTTCTCGTGGGTCGCCACGTGTCTTTTAAAGTAGTATTCGTCCGCAAAGGTTCGACTGCAAACCCCGCACTTGTGTCTGATGCCCATGTGTCTATTTTTGTAATGATTCCGATACTCTCGTACGGTGTAGAATCCCTTGTTGCACTGCTCGCACCGATGCCTAAACTGGTCGAGATGCCTCAGCATGTGCTCCTTCACGTTCTTCTCGTACATAAACGTTCGGAAACAAAAGTTGCAGATCGCACGATCCGTATGCTCGGCCATGTAGTGATCGTAAAATTCGCTATTCTTGTTGAAGGAGGCGCTGCACACGTCGCAGCTGTTTATATAGCACCTCCCCTTTTCTATGTGCCTGAAAAATCCAAACTTGCTAATGAACAGCTGCTCGCAACGCAAGCACTTGTAATGCACGATGTCGATCTCGTCGGTCGGATTGAGCATGATGTAGTTGGTGGCGGAAAAATCGGGAACCTCGTGCCGTCTCTTCGGTCTGGCCTTGGGTAACGCGCTCGTCGCCTTGCTCGAAGTGGCCTCGGTCGTCAGAATCGCCTCGATCGCGCTCTCCTCCTCGCCGATGTGAACAACGGACTGAAAATCCTCATCCCTCCTTTTATACCGCTTTTTACTCTCCAACTGGCCCTTAAAAACGCTCGGCAACATGTAGCCGTGCTCGACGTGCTCCACCGTAACCACCTCGGCACTGTCCGGCTTCGTAACCGGAGACGTTTCGGAATCGGTCTCGCGAACCTCACCCTCATCCTCAATAACAACCTCGTTAATGCACTGAGAATTGTCCAGAATGTACAGAAGATCGTTGGCCGTGTTATCCATGTAGTCGACGTCGACCAACTTCTCGACGACGACGCTTCCGCCGCCCTTATGCACCTCGTAATGATTATACAGGTCCGTCGTCGTTTTGAAATGCTCCTCGCAACGACAGCAACGAAACGTATCGGAAAACTGGTTGATGTGGTGGGTTAAGAAATCTTTTTTTGTCGTAAATATTTGCGTGCACACCTCGCACTCGTAGACGGTTTGCGTTACGAGCCCACTGATCGGATCGAATCTGAAATTAATAATAATTGTAAGAGTCGCGGCGATTAAGAGACGCGAGGGGAACGGGATGTGTCGCCATAAAAAACGTCGGAGCGTCTACTTTAAGTTTATTTTAAAAAACAAACATCGCAACCCTTCGACATACAAAATTGTTCAGGTTATCACTACGTAGTCCACTGATGGCGCCCGAGCACATTTTTGCCACACGAACGATTTCTTTACCTGTTACTCTCTTTGGGGTGCCGCTGAAAATTTGCAAATATTAAAAATATAAATAAAAATATACCTTGGCTTTCTACAGTGCCCATTGTCACAAAATAATTTGAACCAGTCGTAACATTGCAAAAAAAATTGCAGTGTCTTCTATTATAGAGCCGATTTCAGCTCCGTTTATTGATGCTAATATACATTTTTTGCGCCCAAACTGTCACTGAACTCACCGAAAGTTAAATGAAAATTTTTTGCGAAAAAAACATACACCGGTTTTACCCAAAGTTTATTTTAATTCAATCTCGTACATTTCAGGAAACTAAGTATGCAATTTTTTCGCACTGTGACCTACAACAGAACAGTTAGTTACTACAATAGTTACCAAAAGTGGAGAGCCAAATGGTCGCCCAGGTGTCGTGGTGTCACAATGTCGCATGCACACATATATATATGTATATACAAAGGGTGTGGTCCTTCGATCCGATTCCACCACCGTTAACAAACTACAAATATTGCGAACGTTTATTGATACTAATAATTTCAACAATAATAGTTTATTGCAAAATTCTCGAACAGCTCTTAATGTGAACCCCCAAAAGACCTTTGGCTACGAATCCCTTACTGCACAGGGGGCAACTGTACGGCCGCTCGCCGGAATGGTACCGTTCGTGAATCACCAGCGTCGAACGCTGCGAGAAGCACTTCCCGCACTCCCTGCAAATGTACGGCTTTTCGCCGCTGTGCACGCGCTCGTGCAGCGTGAGATTGCTCTTCTTCGCGAAACCCTTCCCGCAGACCGGGCACGCGTGCGGCTTGTAACCGGTGTGGATGCGCAGGTGCTGCTTCAGGTGTTCGGTGCTCGACAAGCTCTTCCCGCACATGTCGCACAGCACCGTATTCTCGCCGGTATGCGATCTCACGTGCAAAATCAAGCTCTTCCTGTGCGCGAACTGCTTGTCGCATATCTCGCACTTGTTCGCCGACGACCTGAACGACTCCGCGTGAATGCTCTTCTTGTGCGCGATCAGGAAGCGGGCGTTCGGAAAGCTTCTCGGGCAAATCTCGCATTGGAACGGCATCGCGCTCGTGTGCGAATTCTTGTGCTCCTCGAGCAAATCGTGCGTGATAAACTTTTTGTCGCAAATATCGCACTGATTCTTATAGTCCCCCTCGTGGTTGTCGATGTGCAGTTTCAAGGACGAACGATTAGCCGTCTCAAAATCGCAGGCGATGCACTTGTAAATCTGATCGGTCGCGTGGGCGTTGAAATTATGAAGGCACAATTGAAACGAGTTCTTGTACGTCTTATTGCACTGCTCGCACGCGTACCTGTTCTCGCCATGTTTAATTTCGAGGTGCTTCTCGTAGCTTCTCGACGAGGTGAACTCCCTAGTGCACACCACGCACTTGAAGTAGTCCTCCACCTTGATCTGGGATTGCGCACCTCCTTCGAGCTCGTTCTTGTGATCTTCGTAGTGCTCGATTAACGTGCGCTTGTCCGCGAGGGATTCGTTGCAAATGATGCAGGTCCACTTGTGCGCGTTACCGTCGACGTGCCGCGCCGGTCTCGCCTTCGCCTTGCTCGAACAGTTCGCGTAGGTGAAGGGGTTTTTGTAACCCATCTCGATCATCGTTAGCTTTCGGCTCGCGTCGAAGTCGATCGTGTACCCCTTTTTTTCGACGGGAATTATGTCTATTTCCGGTAACCGATTCGACCAGCGAGCGGAAATCGCCTTCTTCCGGTTCGGCGGCGCTCTGAAAAACAAACAAATTTTAATAGTCTGACGCGAAGGCGGCCGGGGTTAGAAAAGAAAAAGCGATAGGTGCCGAAAATTTTATTGGTCAAACGAGTGGGTTTTATAATGGACTTTTAACAGGCCGTTCGTCGCGAATGTCTTCGGGCAGATGCTGCAGGCGAAGGGCCTTTCGCCGGTATGTGTTCGGGTATGCATCTTTAGGGAGCCCCTCTGGCTGAATCGCCTGTCGCACGTGGGGCAGGCGTAGGGTTTGCTGTTGGTGTGGACGCGGAGGTGTATGACCATGGTCTGCTTCTTCGCGAATCTTTTGCCGCAGGTCTGGCAGACGAAGGGCCTGTCGCCGCTGTGCAAGATCATATGATCCTTCAGGCTCTGAAGCCAGCCGAAAATTTTCCCGCAGATTTCGCACACGAACTTGTTCTCGCCTTTGTGCGTCTTGAGGTGGTTGCAGTAGGTGCGGGGGTGTTTTAATACCTTCTCGCAGATCTCGCACGTGTAGGTGGTCGGGGTAAATTTGGGGTCGTGCGTGAGCCGATGCCGCCGAAAGTAGTGCTCGTCCATGAAACTTTTGTCGCAGTGCTCGCATCGGAAACGAACCCCCTCGTGGTGGACCGCGTAATGGTGCACGAACGCGGTTTTATTGTAGAAACCTCTGGCGCACTGATCGCACTTGTACGCGAAGCTCTTCGAGTGTACGCGCTCGTGAGACCGCAGGTAGGACTTGGTCGCGAAAGTGGAACCGCAAGTCTTACAAGCGTGAGAGCGATCGGTCGAATGCGACGCTGTTCTGTGCAGCGCCAGCTGGTGCCGGAACACAAACTTCTTATCGCACACCTCGCAACGGAACCTTTTTTCCCGATGATATCGAATGTGCGCTCGAAGTTTCACGATGGAATCAAAATATTTGCCGCAGCGAACGCACCGTGGACCGGATTCTTGCTCCATTGACCTACAAGTGTCTGTGTTAATGTGCGTTTGTACGTGATTGGTGTAACTTACATGAAAGATTCGAGAGAATAATTGTGGCACTTCCACAACATGAATATCGTCACACGCGCATATACAGGGTGTTGCATCTAAGACTCCTCGCATCATAACTCCTTTACCATAAAAAAAATCTTGTGCCATGTTTCTAAAATATTTCATGCCTCTATTCCAGTGGCGTATCACTTACTTTTTTTAATGGACCCCCCCCCCCGTACTTTATTGCAGAATCGCTGGAATACAGCACGCCACTGGTGGCCCGACATATCTTAGAAACATGGCGACGGTAATCGTGCACATTTTTGACGTGCCTACTTAACGTTAAGTGATAATTTACGATACAAGGCTACAATCCTATTAAGAAAGAGACAGTGTAAAAAATGGGGGGGGGGGGGTCTGGGGTATTACGAAGACTTGGTTACCTTTTCGCCAAGACTGCCATAAAAGTGCTAGAGATAATAGAGAAAGAACTATCGAGCCCACCTTTTTGCCGATGGTACTCTCTGGCAGGGGGGGGGGGCCCACGGTGGTTGGTTCGACCTCAAATCTCTATCCAAACATTATTGTGGAAGTGCTAAGAGAACTTTTTGAAAATAATGTGGAAGCGGTGGGCCGGAGACGGATTTGTGTGTGTGGGGGGGGGGGGGGGTACGGAATAACTCCCAGGAGCAGAGAGATCTAAGGTTTATTTCTCTGCAGCTATCATGAAAACCATCGTTTACGATGGGGGGGGGGGGGTGTATCTCCCCTCACCCTTCGGTGATACGTTCACCCTTAAACCTCTTTCCAAAAATTATTCGAGGGGGGAGGGGTAATGTTTACTTTTCTACACTCGATCATAAAGACCTTCGTTTACGGGGGAAGGGAGGGGGTCCACGAATGCGTTTCTTTTGCCTTACATCGAACTAAAAAGAAAGGAGCGAATGTGAGAGAGACAGAAGTAGTGAGTAACTTCTGCCGGTACTCACCAAGTGCCACTGTTTTTATAGTAAAGGACTTACGATTCGTGGTGTCTTAGATGCTACATTCAAAATTCACAAAATGCCATTTGGACTACGTAACGCGCTGGATCAGGTAAGGTACAAACGAAACTATACGGACATTAATTTATTACCACACTTCCTACAAAAACCTATATACACGAAGTTCGCTTACAACTACTAGGACTAATTTGAGATCAAGTTGAGTGGTTTGCACTAAGACAGTCAGTTACTCCATGCCCCTGCAGGTTTTAAAGTGAATGTTGAGCATCGCACGCGCGACGAAGCCTTTCGTGCACAAGTGACAAACGTACGGCCGCTCGCCGGTGTGTCCGCGCATGTGTATCACCAGGCTGGAACGTTGCGAGAATCCGCGCGCGCAGAACTCGCACGAGTACGGCTTCTCGCCGGTGTGGATTCGCTCGTGCTCGACGAGAATCGGTTTCTTCGTGAAGCACTTGCCGCAGTAGGTGCAGCTGAACGGCTTGTAGCCGGTGTGCGTGCGCATGTGGAACTTGAGCTTCTCCTTGCTCGAGAGGGCCCGCCCGCAGACGTCGCAGATCGAGACGTTACCCGTGTGGACGTTCATGTGCAGCTTGAGGCTGTTCTTGTGCTGGTAGGCCTTCTTGCAGATGACGCACTCGTGCAGACTCGACGCGCGCACGAACTCGTCCTTGTGTATCGCGTTGCGATGGGCGATCAGGTAGCGCGAGTACGGAAAGGTCTTCGCGCAGAACTCGCACTCGAACGGTCTCTCGCCCGAGTGATAGTTTTCGTGCTCCTGCAGCCAGGCCTGCACGTGAAACCCCTTCGCGCACTTGCTGCACTTGTACTTGTGGTTCTTCTCGTGCGTGCTGTTCAGGTGATCGGTGATCTCGAGAATGGAATCGGTCTTGAACTCGCACAGAATGCAACGGAAGAGATTCTCATCGGAGTGCAACCGCAAGTGCACCGTATAATCCACGATCTTCCGAAACTGCGCGGTGCACTTATCGCAATTAAACTGATTACTGTGCGTCTCCATGTGCTCCTTCAGGCTCTTCAGCGAGCGAAAGAACTTCGGGCACACGTCGCACTGTATCGCATTTTCAATGTGCAGCTTCATGCTGCGCAGCCTTTTTCCCTTGTGCAGCTCGCGGAAGTGTCTCCGCAGCTGCTGGTCCGTCATTTTTTCGTCCGTCTTGCACACGTGACAAACGAACTTAACGCCGTCCTCGCCTTCCGAACACGGCTCCTCTTTAACTTTAATGGCGAGCTTACGGGGGCGACCTTTCCGTTTTTTCGCGACCCTGAAAGAAGGATTCAAATCAGACGTGCTCGGAATGCAGGTGGAGGGGTAAAAATAGGCGGGCGTTACTAATCTCGATTTATTAATAATTTATTTAACAACACACATTAACTAGGTATCGGAGACGCCGTCGCAGCTTTTCATGTGGGTGTCCATGACGCCTTTGGAGATGAAGCCGCGCGCGCACAGGCGGCAGATGTACGGCCGTTCGCCGGTGTGCGTTCGCTCGTGAATTTTGAGTGGAGATCTCTGCGTGAAACCCTTACCGCAGTGCCTGCAGATGTACGGTTTTTCGCCGGTGTGAACTCGCTCGTGCTCCTTCAGTTGTTCCTTGCGCGAGAAACTTTTGGCGCACATCGTGCACGCGTAGGGCTTATAGCCCGTGTGGATTCGTCGGTGAAATTTCAACTTCTCTTTGCTGGCGAGGCGTTTGCCGCATATGTCGCAGAGCACCGACATGTCTATGCCTTGCTCGTTGTGCTGGCTCAGCTTGTGACGTTTCAGGCCCGTCGACGACGTGTAGTGCTTGTTGCAAATGGTGCAGTCGTACTTGACCAAAGGCATCCCGGTCATTATCTCCCAGTGCTGCGTGCGGCGGTGCGACGTTAGAAACCAGGAGAACATGAAGTGCTTTCCGCAGATCTCGCACTGGAACGGCTTTTCGCCGGTGTGGAAGTACTTGTGCTCCAAGGCGTGCGTGCTCACGGTGAACGCCTTGTTGCAGATCTCGCACTTGTAACCCGTGGAGCCCTCGTGCGCGCGCACGTGCATTTCAAAGTGATACTTCGACGTGCCGGTGTACTCGCACATGTGACAGGTGTAGCGCTTCTCGCTGCTGTGCTTAATCGAGTGGAGCGCGAACGAAATGTTGTTCTTAAACGTCGTATCACAGATGTCGCAGTGCACCTTGTCCGTCTTGGACTCGCCATTTTCCGGTGGTTTAACGTCGTCACTTAGCTTCGGTTGTACGGTAACAGTCATCGAAGGGCCGACAATCAGTCTTTTAAGAATCGAACTTTCGTCGAAAAACAATCTAAAACAAAAGTGAGCGTCAGTGAGAGTGACTGACTGGTAGAATTATTGAAATGAGATCCGAGCTTTACGTAAAGGTTTATTTACAGAAAATCACGCTACAAATTGAGTATTACAATTTCCCTTGACATTTCTTCATGTGCGCGTTGAGTATTCCACGGGCTATGAACCCCTTCTTGCACATGAGGCAGACGAAGGGGCGTTCGCCGGTGTGCGTGCGCTCGTGGATTTTTAACGGAGATCTCTGCGTGAAGCACTTGTTGCAGTGCTGGCAGGTGTAGGGGCGTTCGCCGGTGTGGACGCGCTCGTGCTCTCTCAGTAGGTCCTTGCGGGTGAAGCTTTTCGAGCAGACCTCGCACGAGAACGGCTTGTCGCCGGTGTGGATTCGGCGGTGGAACTTCAACTGATCGCGACTGGCAAGCCGCTTGCCGCAGATGTCGCACAGCTTCGACTGATCGAAGCCGATCGTGTGGTAGCGCTGCTTGTGACGCGTGAGCCCCGTGCACGAGACGTAGTGTTTGTTGCAAATCGTGCACGAGTACAACCGCTTTCCCTGCTTCTCGCAGTGCTGGCTGCGGCAGTGCGCGGTTAAAAATCGTGAGTACGTGAAGCTCTTCCCGCACACGTGGCACTGAAACGGTTTTTCACCGGTGTGAAAGAACTTGTGCTCCACCGCGTGAATATAAACCGCAAAGTGCTTGTCGCACGACTCGCACTTGTAACCGTTCTTCCCCTCGTGCACTTTAACGTGTCGCTCGAACTTGTTCCGAACAATCGTCTTGTACTCGCAAATGTGGCAGACGTACTTCTTGTTGTGCTTAATCGAGTGCAACCCAAACGAGAGGTTGTTGCGAAAAGTCTTATCGCACGTATCACAATGTATGGCGTCCGAACTCCTCCGCGTCCCCCTCTCCTCGTCGCCACAATTACGCGACGGTTCGTCCTTGACAATAGTGACCGACATCGAAGGCCCGTACACCAACCTTCCGATCAGCGAGCCTTCGCCGTAAATTCTAAAACAAAAAATACGTATAAGAAGAATTTCGCAGTGCGCCATCTGTCGATTTCTACACAAGCTACAATTTAAAAATGCTAATGGCGCGAGTCACGAGTACGAGTGACACTTTTTGTGAGTATTTAACACGGATCGCGACACGAACTTCTTCGCGCACACGTCGCATCGAAACGCAAGGTTGCCGTCGTGATACTTCTTGTGGTCGACGAGCGTGCTCTTCTTCCTGAAGATCTTCCCGCACTGCTCGCAGATGAACTTCTTCTCGTCGTCGTGCGTGTCCATGTGAATTCGGCGGGTGCCCTGCAGTTTGAACGTCTTCGAGCAGATCGGGCAGGCGAAGGGCTTCGAGTCGGTGTGGGTTGAGGCGTGCAGCCGTAGGGAGCTCTCTTTCACGAAGCTTTTGCCGCAAACGTCGCAGAGGTACGCGCTTAGCTGAAAGTGGCTGGTGTTGATGTGCGAGATCACCTTCTGCTTGGTCGACAGGTGCTTTTCGCAAATTTTGCACGCGAATCCGTCGCGGGTCGCGTCAAAATGCTTCGTGTGCATCGTCTCCGAGTGAGCCTGCAGCGAGAAGATATTCGTGAAGGTCTTCTCGCACTTCGCGCAGGAGTGGAGCGGTTTCGCTCTGTGAGTGCCGATGTGCGCGTTGCATCGCGACTTGGTCTTGAAGGTCTTGTCGCAAACCGGGCACATTGCGCTCCGTTCCCGAACGCAAGGAGAGTGCTCCGAGAGGGAAGCTAACGACTCGAAGGTTACCCCGCACGTGACGCAGACGTACGAGGTCCGCTTCACGGTCTGAAAGGGAGCTCTGTGCGTGTACTTCCTTCTGGTCGGCACCGACACGCGCTTTATTTTAATCCCCGGCGGTAGCGTTATGTCCAAATTTAACCTGAAAAGCCAAACAATCGATCAATAAAACGCTCAATTACAAGTTCAGTTTATTTGTCAGTGATACACTTGGAGAGGGGGGGGGGGGGGGGGAGATCGTTTATTTTCAAATTAACATTTGAGGCGCATATGAGAAGTCGATATTGGCAACCTCGTGCGTCTTCAGGTGGGCGGCGAGGTGCGTCTTGGTGATGAAGCTCTTGCCGCAGTGACACTTGAAGGGGCGCTCGCCGGTGTGGCTGCGCGTGTGGACGTTCAGCGAGGTTTTCTGCGTGAAGCACTTGCCGCATGTTTTGCACCGGAACGGTCTGTCGCCGGTGTGAGTGCGCTGGTGTACGGTGAGGTACTCCTTCGAGGTGAAGCCCTTGGTGCAGAACTCGCACACGAAGCTTTTGTCGCCCATGTGCGTCTTGAGGTGAACCTGCAAGCCTCGCTTGCTGCTCAGGCTTTTCCCGCAAATGTGGCAGTGGTGACTTTTTTCGTTCGCGTGCGACCTGAGGTGGTTGCGCAGGTTGCGACCGGTCAGGTACGTTTTGCCGCACAGCTCGCAGATGTGCAAACGCTCTCGGCCGTAGTCGGGTTCGTGGACTAGTAAGTGCTCCTTTAAAGACGAATTGGACGACAACCGCGCACCGCACTTATCGCAAATGTGCTCGGGTTTCCCGTGCTGATTGTCGACGTGATACCTATAAGACGCTTGAGTTGCGAAACCCTTGCGGCAGTCCGAACAATACGCGACAAACTCCCTCGTGTGTTTCCGTAGGTGCGTATTCAAGTGAGACTTGTGAATGAACATTTTCGCACACACCTCGCACTGAAAACTTGGTTTGGCGTGGGTCAGCTTGTGTGCGGCTACCTCGTAGCGGTGCTTGAAGCTTTTGCCGCACACCTCGCACGAGTGTTCCCGAATTCCGAAATGGGACATGAGATGGTACTTCAGTAACTTTTTGGTAGTGCACAGTTTGCCGCAGTGGTCGCACTTAAACGTTCCCACTTTCTTCTCCTTGACACCCGCGAGTAACACGTCGGGCAAACTCGTTAAACTCGCGATGACGGACTCGGGCTCGAACGCGGCGCTGTCGTCTATGAGATTCTCAAAGCTCTCGTTGTCGGCGATCTTTCGTAAAATGTCCGAGCAATCGTCCTCGGTCACCAGCAAATTGAGCAGCTCTCGATCGGTGTCGTTCAGCTGATCGTCGGCGTTAACAAGCAGGCCGACGTCCGACAAAGACGCCGGTTTCGAACTTGCGAGTGTCATTAGATAATCGGGCGAGTATAAGGTGCTGTCGTACGAACAGCTGGAAAGAAAAACACAATTATTGTGGCATTTGCAAATCTTCAAAGTCTGAGTAAAACGACCGTAAACATCTAACACCATTTTATTTTCGATAAAAAGAGATAGCGCTACAACACCTTTAAGCTTGTGCGGGGTCAACGCAAATGTGACCGTTATCTTTGGGCGTCCGACACTTGTGACACATTGAACTGTTGTGTTCGGATTCGTAATGTTGCCGCAGCTTCGGCGTACTGCACGTTTTATAACTGCACAACGAGCACTTGAATTTATCCATCGCCAATCTGCAGTGCTTGCGATAGGAGCGTCTCTTTTTAAATAGAAGATTGCACTCCTCACACTTGTAAACCGCCGGTTCTTTCTTCTTCGGCGCGGTATCTTCGGGCATTAAATCCTTAATATTCTTCACAAATATTCGCGGCTTGGGCTCTTCGTCGTCCTCGTCGTCGTCGTCACTATCACAGCCAGAAATAACTAATACTTCATCCTCCTCCTCCTCCTTCGCCGGTTCCTCTTCGTTGATGACGTTCATCACCAAAACCTGCTGATCTTCGTCGTCCATAACGACCGGGTCCTCCACTTCACCGTCGTTACTCTGTTCGTCCTCGATTGAGTGCTCCTCGGGATCGGGGGAGGCGGGCGGATGAACGTAATCGTTCACCTCGGACTCTTCCGCCCTCAGCTCCTCGTGAAACGCGCGATGTTCCCGATACGCGGTATCGTCGTCCAAGATATCGTCGCAAATTTCGCACGTCAGTCTCGCGGGCGCACTCGCCGGTTTGTCCCAATGCGTCTCCTTGTGCTTGCGCATTTCGTTCACATCCTGAAACTTCTGCAAGCACACACTGCACCGGTACCTAAAGCTGGCATCCGATTCCTTTTGGTTGCTCTCCGTGGTCTTCCCAATCGGCGACTGGGGCCTCTTAGGACACTGCGCCCTGTGCAAATTAAGTAGCGCGCCGGCCTTAAACGTCTCCAGACAGTCCTTGCACTTGAACTGCTGAGGTTGCGAGTGACTTCGCATGTGCATCCAGAGCAGATTTCGCGTGACGAAGCTTTTTTTGCAAATAAAGCACGAGTGCATTTGCTTCGAGGCGGTATTGACTCGCTTAACCGCGTGAATCGTAATGTGCCGCTTGTACTTCAACTCGTCCTCGAAAACCTCCCAGCACTGCTTGCACTTAAACACCTGCTTCTGATAGATCTTTCCAAAAATGTTCAGCGAATCGACAGCGACCGGTTTCGGTCGCGCGACACGCTCCAGACTAACCGACAGGGCTTTACAAGTCTTATACGCCAGCATCTGTCTCATCCTCTTCGTCGGTCGAAACAGGCGCGTGTTCAGATTTTTCAAATCGCCCAATAAGACGAGACACTCCGCCATTCCAGATCTATTCGCCGCGAGCCTCGACAGGCTCGATCGCGTCGACGAAATGTTAACCTTTCGAATTCCGCGGCTCATCGCGTAGGTAAATCTGGAAAAAGTTCCGAATTAGCGGTCAGGTTTGCACACGAAGCGGGTCAACGTCTATTTCCCGACTTACCGCCCGACTAGCAGTAGGTATTATTAATTGACTTATCTCGCTCGAAAATACACACGTATCGCTATCAGTGTAAGGATTAGATAAAATAATTTCTAAGCAAACTTTTATTAACAAGCAGGTTACATGCGATTTAAAAACGTGACAGTTTGTGTAAACTTAAGTTATCTTCTGTTTTGAAGGTTTTTTGCAGACATGGCAATAGTGGTTCAGTTTGTATAATTGTGCCAACACCGCGTTGCACCTACGCACATCGGGCCTAACGAGCGTGCTAAGTCTCCTCACGTGAATCACGCGTTTCGGGGCTCTGCTTCTGAGCGGGTTGCCTCCGGTGTGACTTATGTAGTGATTGTAAAACTCGCCGCGATCGCTGAACGACGCGTCGCAATACTTGCAAATGAAAGCGTTCATTATTCGACTGTCGACCAGTCTTTCGGTGGACGTCAGGAAAACGCTGCCGCTGTTCACGTTTTCCTTGCTGTGAGCCCTCGCGTGTATGTGGTACAATTGTTCGTCAACGATCTTCCTCCCGCACTTGCAACACTCGAACAAATCCATAAAAGTACTGAGAACGTGTCGATTAAGCTCGGTGCGGTTATTGTACTCTTCACCGCACACGGCGCACGCGTGGAAAGTCTCAATTGGGCTAAGCGGGTTTTCCTCCCTGAAAATACAAACGGAAATGAGCTACGGACCGGTATTGAGACTATCTACTCTAAACAATTGAAAAATTGTTAGGTTTACAATGGACGCAGGGCACGGTAAAAACACAAAATCTAAATGCGACCCACACACTACTACTACCCCGCTGAAGTAGATGTGGGGACACTTGGTCCTGGTTCTACCTACCTGCACACGTTGCTAAATACAAAAAATACAATGTGTCAAGTTGATCCGTGTATTTTTAAATACAATGCCTTTGTCACAAGCTTTTCTCGCAAACGACACAAGTGTAAGGTTGTACTCTGCTATGCACTCGATCGTTTCGCAGGTTGCTCTTCGAAGTGACAGATGATGCAGCGATCTTTGTGGAGTCTCAGATGAACTTCTAGACCTGTACACTGTACCGCACTTGGTGCATTTCGTAACGGTACCTCTAAATTTGGGTCAATTTTTTTTTCTTAATTTTTGTGGTAAAGCGAGTTCAAAAATTTAGTAGTTGCATTGAAAGAATAAATAAGCGAGCATTCGGCGGAATTGAAGATTGTCCTTTTTTCATCTTTTAATGTCTACAGAGCATTGTCTTCTTAATGGATTCTGGACGTCTGGAGTTATCTCAGTTAGGGCTATTTCATTACAGCTGTCAATTCGGTATGAAATCGCTTCATGATTGTGAAACGTGATCACATTTGGGATTAATTTATTGGCACGGCTCTTGTTTGATTCGTAGGGCGGGAATTAAGCAAACGAATTGACGATTAAAGATGGCCGTTTGCGTTAATAGGAGGCCATTTTGTAGGGGTTCTTGAATTAATAAGGAACAGAGCGGAAAAATGTTGAAGATTCGGAGTTAAGTACGTATCCTTGGAGAAAATTAATCAATCCGCGTTGGGCCATTAGCGCGACTAATTTTAAATTTAAAATGTGGACCTTTTCGAGTCTGAACAAAGGTAAGTTTAACCCTACATTTGAAAAAAAAATTTGGGTCGGAAATAACCACGTAGTATCCATATCCCCCGGTGTTCCCGGCACCGTAGGGTCTCAGTAACAAATTCCAGGTAATAGATTGGGCGAAAGATTCACCTCGAGAATAAATTAATATTTAGAAGATTAAGAGACTATCATCAAAGCAATTACCTCATTGTGAAATGCAGACGTTTTCATCGCATAAATTGGAGTTATTTTCGGTTAAGGACAGATTAATTAAACGCGCTGCGTTATATTTCGTAACAAAAAATTCAACTGTGTCGCAGTTAGTGAACAAAAGGGGATTGAACTTGACTGTTGGAATACGCAACGAGTGAAAACAAGTTAAAAAGTAATCGTAAACGATTTACATAAAGCGCATTTCCACTTGCATTCATTTCCCATTTGTAAGATGCAACTTCTGTTAAAATCGTAAAATCCGGCCACAAATATGAAAGATAGCGTTGCACATGGGCAATCCATTGTTGACGTGCTACTTCAATTTCAGTTTATGAGAGGAATTTCATTTCAATGCTTTTCTAAATAAGAAAGTTGGAACTGCGCATGCGCAAACCTAAATTTTAAAACTAATTTACTATAACTAACTAATAAACTAAGATTTTCCTTTGGTCCAAGCGCCTAAGTATCAAATTTCACTTAAATAGTTCCATAGATAAAAAAGTTGGCACGGCGCATGCGCAAAATAAAATTTTGAAACTGGCGCAAGATTTTCCTTTATTCCAAGTGCCTATGTATCACATTTCATTTAAATTCTTCCATAAATAAAAAAGTTGGCACTGCGCATGCGCAAAACCAAATTTTGAAATTGACGTTTGATTTTCCTTTATCCCAAGTGCCTATGTATCAAATTTCGTTTAAATTCTTCCATAAATAAAAAAGTTGGCACTGCGCATGCGCAAAACCCAATTTTGAAATTGGCGTTTGATTTTCCTTTATTCCAAGTGCCTATGTATCAAATTTCATTCAAATACTTTTATAAGTAAAAAGTTTGCAATTCGGTTTATAAATGGTCGAGATGCGAAAAGGGCACTGTGAATTTTGAATCGATTCGATCCAACTTTTGGCATTGCGTATTATATGGCTAAAGCTATGCCCATATTGAATTTCATGCAATTCAGTTCATAACTAACGGAGATGTAAAAGCGATTGAACATTTCTAAACAAAGTTATCGTTCACACGGACAGATAGATGGACAGACAGACAAAGGAACAGACGGAGAGACCAACCGGCAGGGGACAGATAGCAATGCAAAATTATAAACGATCTCTAGGATCGTTAATAAACGGCAAAAGTGTAAAATTATGGAACATGTAAAAAAACGGTTTTTTGTTTTTTTACAATAACTTTTTTTGTAAGCGGTACAGAAAAAATTCCTTCCTTGGTACAAGACTCGACACCATAACGAACCAAATAGCGAAAAAAGGAGAACAATAGCTCTTAAGATAAAAAACTAGTAGCGTCGCAAAGTTAGCGGACGGACGGACGGACGGACGGACAAAGTGGCCACAATAGCGCATTTTTTTTATTTTTGTGGAAATGCGCTAAAAACGTCTGGTTCAGTAAATAAATTGTTCCTATTCTGTGAAAAATAAAAAGTTCGAGGACTTATCACTTCGCGAGACAGGATGACCCGCCCACCAACTCATCCTAGGTAAGAGAGATTCGGCGAATATTCCGCCTGAGCTTTCAGAACACAGCAATTTTCGCCGAATCTCTCTAAAGATTTTTAATTACACTGCTAAAGACCCCTGAAAATTGATAATTTATTTATTTTTCATTTGCCTATTATATGCCAATTATATCTGTCACATGAGATATATAAAGCAGTCTATGACACCCGAGGGCATAATGGATTGTCATTTCATTATGCCCTCAAACGGCCTGTCAATAGTTATTTATGCATCAAGGGCATTAAGGCGATATTTATGCCGAGAGCCACAGAGCTCGAGGGATTGTAAGTCGCCCGAGGGTTAAATATTGAGTAATACCTGAGGTGCATACAACATTTTATTTTTCATCGTTCCAAAGAATGCATTTCCAATATACAAATGTCATGATTA